CTTTGACTTTGCAAATGATAAAAAAAAGCAGTTTTCAGCCATCTACGGCTTTTGTGCAATTTTCGAGGTGATTATGTTGAATATTTTAGGTCTTTAGGAGACCTTTTAATTAATAGTTCTTACTTTTCAAACAGATTTCTTTCAAATTTATCATGACGTGTTCAAATCTTAAGTTCATGTCTCACTTAAAAAGTAAAATTTTGGAAGATGTAAGAAAAACGACCGAAGAAGACTTTGAGATTGAGAAAATGCATCGCAAAAACGGCCGAATTATTATTATTTCATATACAATTTTTTTCCTTTCCCTGCCGTTCCTACTTTCGCTTGGAAGTTTTTTAGTTATTCAGGATAAGATCATGCCAATTTATGCTCAAGTTTCTCTCACGAAGTATGGAATATTTTCCATTTAAATTCAAGTGTTAATACTTTGTAAAATATTTTTTTTTAAAGTTCCGATTCTTTATCATCACACGTACTCAATCTTGGGTTTATGGTCACATGGATGGTGTTTGTTGTTGTCGCAGTTGACGGTAGTTTATTTCTTCAAAGTTATTTATTTACCAGCATCTTTAAATCTTTAAACTATTTCCCCAGGTTTGGACAGTTTATATGTTTTGGTAACTTATCACTGTATCGGGAAGTTGGCAGTTTGTTCTCATCTTGCATCAAACATTAATCAACACACAGATGAGCAATATATTTTGAAATTAATTAAAAAACATTTGGATGTTCTTGATCTCATTAAAGTTTCGGCGAAATTTTATAATAAATTGAATTCTGTTCAACTTTGTGTATCATTCGGGGCAATTGCCACCAGTATGTACAACATGAAACTCAATTTTGAGATACTGCTCATTGTGCCTCTAAGTGCTGCTTTAATTCAACTTTTCTTTTACTTCTATGTGGGACATCAGCTTTCATCAATGGTATTTGAAATAATTGTTAACATTAACTGGAAATCAATTTCTTTGTTTTTCGACAGAACGCTCAACTTCAACATTCAATTTATGGATCAAAATGGTACGAAATAAAAAGTATTTCCTTGAAGAAGAAAATTTTATTCATGCTGATGATGATGCAACATGATAAAGGCTATTCAGTCATGGGGCTTAAAACTATAATGAATTTCGAAAGTTTCTCAGATGTCATGAAGCAAGTCTACGGATTCTTGAATTTTTTGTTGAATGTCATGTAAAGCAAATTATGTCAACTTAATCACCAAATAAAAATTTAATGTTAAATGTTGAAAATATTGATGATTTTAATCTAAATAAAACCTTCTATTATGAATTTCAAATGATGGAATACTTCATGCTTTGTGCTTTTGTCATGTTTTATGTTCACTACACGAATCGTAACAGCTTGTCAGTGACAATCGTTTCTTTAATCATCGGAAAGTAGAATGTAGGGCATTGGTCAGTTTTAGGTCCGCTTGAATGGTCCGCATCAAATTTCTGGTCCTTAAGCTAGAAAGCAAGTTAAAAGTCAGCGAGTTGTTTCTATGATCTTTACAAATCCAACTCATAACTGACTTACATAAGGCGATATCAGTACTTTATGCCAAAAGTCATTCATATGTCTGAGCATAAAGAATTGGTCTTTCATTTGAAGGAAATGACAGTCCTATGCCGGATTGAATTCACCATTGCCCTGTTGTGCTATTACTGCTATTCGAATGAGTGAAGCAAATCAATTTTTTAAACCATCCAAATTATGATCCATTCCATCTAATTACATAAAATATGCAAAACATTCATTTTCATGATGTTAAAATTAAGTTTAAAAACAATTTTACTATCGATAACCGTGAAACTTTGTTTTATGAAATAAATTTTTTAAACCATTAAACTATGATCCTTGCCATCATATAATTTTACGTATAAGAATATAAATTATGAAGTGAAAAATTTGAAAAAAAGGAAAGGCAAATTAATATTTTTTACAGTTTTTTTAGTAACATTTTTGACAAAGCCAGTAAAGAGAATGGATCGTTCTCAAAATCCTCTTGTGAATATTAAGAAAAAGTTCATTGGTTATTGGAACAGTGACTTAAATTTTGAATTGGAATTCAACTTAATCGAAAATATTTTCCGGATATTTTGTGAGAAATTTTAGTCCTTTAATTTATTTATTTAAATTGAAAAAATTAAATTCACAGCTTTGAATATTTTTGATGGTGTTCGAATGCCCTCAAAGAGATTTTTCTTAACAACAACTTCTTACTTGATATTCTGGTGGATAATTCATCTTAAGAATATTTGCTTTGACTTTGTAAATGATACAAAAAAGCAGTTTTCAGCCATCTACGGCTTTTGTGCAATTTTCGAGGTGATTATGTTGAATATTTGAGGAGACCTTTTGATTAATAGTTCTTACTTTTCAAACAGATTTCTTTGAAATTTATTATGACGTGTTCAAATCTTAAGTTCATGTCATACTTAAAAAATAAAATTTTGGAAGATGTAAGAAAAACGACCGAAGAAGACTTTGAGATTGAAAAAATTCATCGCAAAGACGGCAGAAAGATTATTGCTTTATACACCATTTTTTTCTTTTCCCTGCCGTTCCTACTTTCATTTGGAAGCTTTTTAGTCATACAGGATAAGATCATGCCAATTTATGCGCAAATTTCTTTCACGAAGTATGGAATCTATTCCAATTAAATTCACGTTTTAATACTTTGTAAAATAATTTTTTTTAAAGTGCGGATTCATTATCATCACACGTACTCAATCTTGGGTTTATAGTCACATGGGTGGTGTTTGTTGTTGTCGCAGTTGTTGGTAGTTTATTTCCAAAAAATTATTTATTTAGCAGCATTTAAAAAGATACTTTTGCAGGCTTGGACAGTTTGTATGTTTCGTTGACTTATCACTGTATCGGGAAGTTGGCAGTTTGTTCTCATCTTGCATCAAACATTAATCAACACACAGATGAGCAATATATTTTGAAATTAATTAAAAAACATTTGGATGTTCTTGATCTCATTAAAGTTTCGGCGAAATTTTATAATAAATTGAATTCTGTTCAACTTTGTGTATCATTCGGGGCAATTGCCACCAGTATGTACAACATGAAACTCAATTTTGAGATACTGCTCATTGTGCCTCTAAGTGCTGCTTTAATTCAACTTTTCTTTTACTTCTATGTGGGACATCAGCTTTCATCAATGGTATTTGAAATAATTGTTAACATTAACTGGAAATCAATTTCTTTGTTTTTCGACAGAACGCTCAACTTCAACATTCAATTTATGGATCAAAATGGTACGAAATAAAAAGTATTTCCTTGAAGAAGAAAATTTTATTCATGCTGATGATGATGCAACATGATAAAGGCTATTCAGTCATGGGGCTTACAACTATTATGAATTTTGAAAGTTATTTAGATGTCATGAAGCAAGTNTAATAAGTCTTAATAACTTTATTACTGTGATAACTCACCATATATGTACTCTCTCTCTCCTTATTCTTTTCTCTTACTCTCACCTTCCCCATCGTGGTTCAGTAGTTTGTGAACCACTAAACGCTTAACATCTAATAAAGCATATTATTACAGGTGAGAGTAGTTTGTGAACCACTAAACGCTTAACATCTAATAAAGCATATTATTACAGAACCCATTGCGTTTATCTATTACTTCGAGTTCACAACAGTGGCGACGAGGATTAAAAATAACAGTTTAAAAGCGGGAAAGCAACATAACCTCAAAAATGGATATTAATGCATTGGAAAAACTCCTGCAAAGTCAGCAAGCACAGCACCTAATGGAAATGCAACAACAGCAAGAGCAGCACAAATTAGAAATGCAAGATTTACTGAACGCAATACGTCATTTAAATGTTCCAGATTTAAATGTGCAAGCAAATAATTCACCTACTCGAAAAATCAAAGATTTGGCAGACTCAATGATTGATTTTACATATGATCCCGAAAAAAATGGAATATTTGAAACATGGTACGCACGCTACAAATCAATATTCACGTTAGAAACAAACGATTTGTCGGAATCCATGAAAATTCGTCTTTTGTTAATAAAGTTTCAACAATCAGATTATCAACGTTATGCTGACGCAATTCTTCCTCAAGAACCACATGAGCTAACATTCAATGATACTACGAATAAATTGAAGAAACTTTTCGGATACAAGGAGACAAAATTTTCACAGCGTCACAAATGTTTCAATTTAACTAAAGAGGAATCTGAGGACTTCATAACATATTCAGCACGGATTAATAAGCAAGCCGAGAAATTTGACATCGTCAACTGTACGCCAAATGATTTGAAAGTTTTACTTTTTATTAGTGGCTTGAAAAGTTCAAAGGATTCAATTATTCTCGAAAAGCTTTTGAATAAAGTCGACACTCAATATGTTCGAATTGAAGCAGCAGCAGATCGAAACGCTCGGGATGCTATTGTGAAACTTACTTTACAGGATCTGGTCAACGAAGCTGAGCGTATAATTTGTCTCAAGAAAGATAAATCAACTGTAATCGATTCAGCACTCACAACAGATATAAATAACGTTCACGCCGATGGAAAAAAATCTTCGAATTATTCGCACAAATCGAAGTCATCTACAAGTTCATCGGAAAAATCTTATCACCCTTCAAATTCCGACGATTCTCAACCAACAAGCTCATCTATGCCATTCCGTCCTTGCAGACATTGTGGAGGCTTGCATTGGCACAGAGAATGTGAATATCGTGATAAGATTTGTTCAACGTGTAAAAAACAAGGACACAAAGAGGGATATTGCATTTTCTTTGAGGGTGATAAACAACAAGTCGAAACGAATCACATCTCAGCAAAAGAAGTCTTGAACAACAATCGCAAATATGTTCTCGCAAATATCAACGGAGTTCAATTCAAGCTGCTCCTGGACTCTGGCTCTGATATCAGTATCATTTCTCGTACAAGCTGGAAAAAACTGGGAAAACCAAACTTGCAACAAACTGACAAACGGGCTAAAACTGCTTCAGGAGGTCAAGTTCCTTTGATGGGTGTTTTCAAGTGTATACTGGTGCTCAATAACAATGAAGTTTATGTTGACTGTCACATTTCATCACTTCAATTAAATCTCTTTGGCATCGATTGGATTACCTCGCTAAATTTATGGTCGCAACCCATCACAAAGTTTTGCACCAAAATTAAGAGTAACAGCTTCAAGACTTTATCGAAAAGAGACTTGAAAATCACAAGTATCACGGCTCACTCAGTAGTTAAGCCAGCAGTTCTTACCAAATATAAACGAACGAAGTCATCAACAGATGCAGCTTACTGTTTTCAATGCAATGGTCAAGATGAACAGTTCGTAGACATGCTCAAGATAAGCTTGCTAAAGGTAGAAGAGAAGATTGACCAGAAGTTACAAGATTTTTTTCAAAGCTATCGGTTTACAACTTCCAACAATCTCGAAATGAAGTCTCAAATTCAATTGTTGTCGGATCACGAAGTAAAATTAAAACTCGATTTAAAACCCGAAATCAGCTCACAACAGCTTTCTGATCCTGGAAAAAATTTAAACAACTCATCACAGGTTGATCACGGCAACATATCTACAAATTTTGAAGATGTATTGACTGACAACGAGGACAGCAAAGTTAATTCATCAAATCAACATGACGGTTTTATTAAAAAAAGAATGACCTCATTGGCATATCAAACTCGATCAACTCGTGGTCAAGCTTCAGATTATCTGCGATTTTAAAAGGGGAAGAATGTGATAACTCACCATATATGTACTCTCTCTCTCCTTATTCTTTTCTCTTACTCTCACCTTCCCCATCGTGGTTCAGTAGTTTGTGAACCACTAAACGCTTAACATCTAATAAAGCATATTATTACAGAACCCATTGCGTTTATCTATTACTTCGAGTTCACAACAATTACAATATCAGCAATATTAATTTTTATGTTCTAAAATGAATCGTATTTGTAATTTTGGATTCCAAAATATGAAGCATGTTTTTTTGTAAAACCTTCATATCCAACATATCCATCATGTGCTTTAAATGTCTTGTTATTTCATGACTGTAATTAATTCCTTTGACAACTTTATTTAATTGCGGTGTTTCTAAACATGTACAGCTAAAAACGATATGTTAGTTGGATATCAGTAAATGTCCATTACTGGATAGAAATGATAATATCTGGTTGTCAAAGTCCGGTTCTTATTCAAATCTATCCATATATCATTTGAAAATGTTAAAAGATTGACGAAGTCGACTTCAATTTCACTGATATTTAAATTTCATTTTGAATTGGTATCCTATTTTTTTATCATCTTTATAAGAACTACCTAATTCATTACATTTACGATAATTTCACTAAAAATAAATTTATTTTGAAAAGACAAAAGTTATTTTAGATATTTTTGTCTAACTTATAAATAAATTAAGTTATTGGCAATCAGCAAACAGATTTATAAATAAATTTATTCAGCAGTAATAAATATCCAAAATGTTGTGAGATGTTAAAAAAGAATGCTCAAAATCACGAATCCAATTAGTAGAAAGATAAAACACTTTCTGAAGGATAAATAAATTTCGTTTTTGTTTTCGATGCTCCTTAAATAGCATTAACATTTGTAATCCTTCAATCTCACTTTGCACTAGTCTAGGAGTTGTTGTTATGGAGTTGATGTCACGCACGCAATTCTACTACTTTTATCATGATGAAGTTGTAGTGTGTAATCAAAAGCCTATCGCGTAAAGTAAAAGTTATTTTTATGTTCAAACTTTCGTGAGAAACGTTCGACACTAAAAAAAAACTTGTGTTAAATGACTCACCCGCAATTTCCGTGTTTTCAAAGGTACCACCGTGTTCTGTTTAGCAAACCACGATAATATAACAAACGCTCCACTCAAGACAGAAATGAATCATTAAACTGTAATTGAACGAAATGGGAACGACTTGATAGTAGTTTTTATGTTTTGTGTGCTTTCATTTATTTCTATGTGCGTGGGTGGAGTTTTTTTCCTTCTCTTCTTCCTGGCAATTGAGGGTTGTGTTTATTCGTCATAACGAGAAACAATTTCTCTTATTCATCAAAGTACTTTCCCTTTGATTTCTCATAAACATTTAAAGTTGTAATTTTCAACCCTCAAATCACTGAATAATTATACGAAGCACGCGAATCTAAGATTTTTACTTTTCAATCAAAATTAATATTACCATTGCCGATTTTGTGGTTTTAGCAATGACTCAAAGATATTCCTTCATGCCACCGCGTTATGAATTTCATATTAATCATTAGAAAAACCTGAGAATGTCGGAAATTCTAATTTAAAATTAATATTTCCTTAACGACATCATTAAGATTTGGGCGGAAAACTTAATTAATCAAATCAAAATAAGGTTATATTAAAGCTTAATCAATACTTATAGCATCAACAACGAATTATGATTGAGATTCGTTTCGCTTTAAGGATTTGCTATGATTAAATTGAAATTGTTTCCTTGATAGATTTTTTTTCTTCTTCTGATTAAATAGATGAGAAATTCGGTCATCGAAATTGGAGCATTCCAGACAATTTTCCACATTTTCACGCTAGATCTGTCTAATGGAAGCTATAAAGATAAAAAAATATCGAGTTAGTTTTACTTTTATTGATTATCATGCGAGATAAATATCTCGATATTGGATTTCGTCTTGAAGCCCACATCCAATCCCAGAAATTGTTCGCGAAACGATGTTGCTGACAGACAAGTGAAATTAATGGATTCTTAATTAATTTCCTAATTATTGCTGGAGCTCTTTCACATTGATTAATGTTTATGCTATCGCTTTTAAATAAAGGAAAGGTTAAGTTTGCCGTAAGCCGATTTTTCCGATTCTGAAAAGTTTCAGACTCTGATTACATTTGACTGATGTCATGTGAATTCTGAAACAGTAAAACTGATGGAAGTTTAACATTTACTTGAATCAAAGTGCGTTTAAAATTTTCCACGACATAAAGTTTATTATTTAAATAATTGAAGCTAAGTATTCGCGTCCGCAACGTAATTTATTAATGATTTCCAATTTCAATTTATTTCTTCGAAATATCAAAAGCACTAAGCGAGTAATAATTAAATTCAAACTTTTTAATACGCTTCGAAGAATGTGAAACTAATCTTTCAATGTCATAAAAGTTTTTTCACTCTCGCGAATTTCTCCTTCACATCCCAACGGACATTGGAATTTTTTTCCGATACTTTTCATCCTCTTCTTATAATCAATGTGAAATAGAGTATGAAATTGTTAAAAAATCGATTGTCATTATTTTACAGAATTCTTTTCCTAGAGAGTGAAAAAAATGAAAAACTTTCTCTTCACACTTCTCCGAGCTTTTCTCTCTTCGCCTTTTACAGGCTGGTGGATATTTATGACGAGAAAGTGGTGATAAAAATTTTCCACATCATTGAACGAAGGTATGGATGCTCGTTGAATGCTTGTGTTGTCGGCGTCTTCGACTATTAATATCTAGCTTGAGTCGCATGCATCTGCTTCGATATAATTTCTTTTTCGATTTTGATACTTAAGCATATAATGGCATCTTCCTTTTTTCATTTTGCTTTTATCATCTCTCAACAGCTTTGGTTTAAATATAGTTGCAGAAATGAACAGCATTTAGGGGAGATATATGGAACTATTTGAATGGGTTTTATTAGAAATATTGTGTTTATGAGTAGATGATGAATAAAATATCTCAAAACTGCGCAAAAGAGCAGAACACATTTTTTTATTGTATTCTTTAAGGACTCATAAAATGATTCTAGTGGCTTTTAGACGATGTACATAGGAAACATATGTTAACAATGGTCATCGTGAATGTTGAAATCAGCTTGGCCATCTTTAATGCTGACTTTGTTTGCAATATTTTTAAGCTCATTGGATTATCAAATATCTTCCTGAAGTTCACATTACAATATTCAGAAATGAATTTAATTTGAAATTGATCTTTTAATACAATTAAAGTCAGAATTTTCTCATTTTTGATACCTTAATTTTATGCATTATGATCGAGGGTAATGCGGCAGAATTTGTCTCATCTAATTATGCGATTAAAATTGAAAAAGGAGCATAAAAAATTACGAGTTTGACGAATTGAAAATGAAAAAGTTGAAACTTTTTGTGACGCAGTTGTTTGGGTGATTCAAAATGTTTGCAATGTGAGCTCAGTTGATGATGGAAAGTTGGATTAAACATTCATTATTCTGATTTATCAGATTATTAAGGGCGTTGAACTTTTGCAGACGATCCTTGATATTAATTAATTGACAAAATAAACAATTTATAAACGAAAAGCTTTTAGTATTAATGGAAATTCGAAAACATGTTATTTACAAAAAAGCAAATTAAGGAAGATTAAAGCACGCGATATATCAGAAATTTATGCTTTCATTTGCAGTTAAGAATAATAATGTTGACCTTTAAAGCTTCTTGCTCTTTATTTATTAGAATAAAATTGTAATCATTAAATGATTATTGATTTAACAACAAGTCTGAGTGTTCAATTAAAATGAAGTAGAATGAACTAACACACCATTTGCATTTAAATTAAGGGACACTGCTGTGAATTGTGATTTAATATTCACAGATTCCCGCATAGTCCATGGACCTTGAATAAATTATTCATACAATTCGAACAAAGCTTTAAATCACTTGCAATTCAAAACAAACAGACACAACCAAAAATCCCATTGAGACTTACCAATGAACTTTGTGGCTATAATGTCTGCGATGAGTAATTCAAAAAGTTCAAGTCTGATGACTTCAATTAATTTTACGGTAGAAAATTTTTAAATCGCTGTTTCTGTCATTGCTTTTAACATTTCCACAATAATATCCACTGATAGAGGAAAACATAAAACGAACAGACTTTGGCTGATAATCTCGACTCGACACTTTTCCAACTCTCTTATTTCATCTCATTAGGTTCAATGCCATGCTTATCCGTACTGGATACCATCGTTCCGGGTGTGAAAGAAGAACAAAATGTATTGCAACGAAATTAAGTTTTATGTTCTGCGTTAAATTTACTGCTTATGCTTCCGAACGTTACTAACTCTATAATCCGACAATTTCTTATAATTTTATTACAAGCTAGTAGCTAGTAATTGTGCAACATAAAAGAAATTTATTGTACGCATAAATTTTTATTCACGAGCTTATTACACGAACATAAATGTTTCCACGTTGTATCAGCTTTAGTTTGTTAAAATATTTTAATCAAATATTAGATTGATGAAGATTTTACATAAAAAAGCATAATTTCATATTTTACTGCAGGATAATTTTGTCACCATTCGAGCTTCATAAACATGTTAATTAATCAAGTTTTATGAAGAGAACTTGTTAATTTTATGCTGCTGGAAATATTTTTATGAAGAAGATTAGAACGAAAATACTTTCGAATGTCAGTGTGCATTATGATGATATTTTTCATACCAGTAATGACAGTTTTAATGCTTTCATCTTTTGTCCAATAAAACTTTTATGAATCTTTCTGTGCTATTAAGCTCAACATTACCACCAATGAGAAATAATTTACACTACAAGTTGTATTTAACAGCGACTTGTTACTTCCCAGAATGTTGAATGAATTTTTTCTTATAGTTTGCCAATTGCCAATCTTTTAGTGTTGGAAAATTGGAAGAATTAAGAAACTTTCTTCATTTATTTAAGCAAAGAAATGAATTTTCCACAAATATCTTTACAGTTAATGAGAAAAAAGTTTTTAGCTTTCATTGTTTATTGGTTAAAATTACTTAAACAATTTAAATTCGTTATCTAATCTGCTAGGATTAAATTTAATTAAATTTTCATTCACATCTTTTAATAGTTCCCTGTTGTTGATATTGAGAGATAATAACAGTCTTTCCACTTAATTATCTTACATCTTTAGCTAAACATAATATAAAGTTATGCATAGTTTAAGCGGTTTTTAATTGTAATATAAATTTCATTTAATCTCTGATGAAGTCAGATAAAAATGTTTTGATTTTATTAAATAAACTTGGAATTATAATCTCATTTAAAACAATTAAAAATTCCCTGATTCTCAAAAATGTTTTCAAAAAATGGCACAGGAACTTAGCTAACATTCTCAACATGAATCTAAGCTGAAGTTTATTGCATTTCAATGTTTCTTTGCCTTACTCCATTTTCATTATCAACAGCCTTCGGTGTGTGGGAATTAACATCATCTAACTCAGGATTGTCCCATTTTTGTCTTTCACCAGACCCAAAAACGTTGTAGAAAGTCGCACAAAGAAAATATATCGCAGCTGCGATTACAAAAACAATGCGCCATTGTCCAATAGTAGGCTGAATATTATCGATTGTAAATATTTTAGCAAGTAAACAATTTTTGGAAATGTTCATTAACTCACCTTTCCTTCAATAATGTTTCCAGCAACAATTGGCGCCAGAAGACCGAAAATATTAGCAGCACAGTTCGTGAATGACATCAAAATCCCAGCAAAGCGTGGTGTGAGGTCGAGATGATTTATCTTAAAGCCTGCAGATAAAACAAAGTACTTTGAAAAATTCGTATCATTGTGCGTTGGTTTCGTAAACATAAACCTGAATAAATGCCACCGTTAAGTCCCAAGCCAATCGTAAGCACTGCTACGGTTAAATAGCGATTACAACCCGTGAACGAAGCTATAAACAGACATATCGCTGGTCCATATTGTCCAACACTGTTAATGACCTTTCTCGTGACCGTGTGCGTAAATCTCTCCGACTCCAACATCCAGTCAGCAATGAACGAAATAATGTTTGAACAAATCCACATTGATAAATATGGTAAAGCTGACAGGAAGCCATTCTTTCAATGAAAATCATCATTATAATATTCAAAATGCTCGTTAAAAAGAAGAAAGAAAGAAAGGAAAAATTTTTTGCTTACTTCTTTGATTGAAAACCTCAGCACTTGCTTCATATACGTGGGAAGTTCTGTCATCAAAGTTTCGTAACCATAATTATGTCCCATACTAAATAAACAAAAATTAATTACTGAACTGAATAGAATGATGAAGGTCACGGATGCTTACTGTGCTAAGAGAATAGCAAAGAAAGGCATTGACGTAACAATACTTTTCCATGGAATCGGAGGCGATGTCATTCTAGCTGAGCCCCATAATTGATTAACAATATATTTTCTTTCGTCTTCATCTATCGTTTTATGTGATTGTGGATCTTCTTTACATGTCAATAAAAATACGATACACCAAACAGTTCCAACAGTGCCAAAAACATAGAAGATTGATGGCCAACCGCCAGCAAAACCATGTTCGGCAAGCAATCCTGACAACGGCATGGAAATTACTGTTCCAAACTGTTTTGGGTAAATAAAAAAGATTATTTCATTCCATCGAGTGGTATTTAAATACATGAAATGTTTACCTGTGCTCCTGCATAAACAAAAGCTCCCATTCTTGATCGTTCTTTGGGTGGAATCCATTTAGCAAGCAATGCATGAGTACACGGAACCTAGAAAAATATTTTAATTCGTTTGCTGGCGATAAAAGTAAATTATTAAATTGCTTACTATTGGCCCTTCGCCAAGTCCTTGAATAAAACGTATTACACAAAGTCCAACCCATCCCCAACGGTTAGCAGCAAACGGCACGAGGAATGCGAAAACAGAATTTATCATCATGCCCCATCCAAGGAATTTCAAAGACCCAAATCGTTTTGCGAGAATGCCAAAAGGAATCTGATTTACCAAGAACAAGAAAAAAAATAACGAGAAATAATAATGCAAGCAAAATTTATTGATGATGAGATTTCATGGTAATCATAAACGATTTGTGTAAGTTGACGTAGTAAAATGTTTGTTTTGAATCTTACCTGAGTTGCTACATAGCCGTAGAAGAACGAAGCGAGAATATAACCTTGAAGACTTGTACTCCATTGATATTCGCCATTGGAATGTTTCTAAACGTAATCATCGAAATAATTTGTAATGGGTGAATTTTAATTGAAGTCAATGAGAGGGAAACTCACATCAGTAACATCGCCATAATCAGTTTCGGGACATTCATCATCAAACGACTCGTTTTCAGTTTCGATTGCTGTGTGATTGACCTGTAATTAACAGTACAAAACATTCTGTTGAAAGAGTTGAAGAGAAAATAAATTAATCCTTCATACCATGCTAACAATTCCGATGGACATGTTTGTTCTCATAATGTATGCATTGGCCATTCCCAAAAAGAGCATAAACGTCATATAATGTCGTGTACCGAACATTTCTGGAATATTCATTCTCATTTAATTTATAAACTTTTCAACTAAATGCCATATTGAAATGAACAATTTTGTTGTTTTGGGTTAATTTAATTTATTAAATTTGTGAAATTAACATCTCTTGTTTTAAACACATTTCAAAATGTTTTCATGTTTATAATCAAAATTCTGTCAAATTGTCTGAACATTCTTCAATTTTTTTAAATTGTTTATCTAAATTTCAGAATTGTCAGATTTCATTTCTTCAAGCTTCAAAGATCTCACTGAGTCTTAATGACAATTGAAATACGACGTAATTGAAGTTACTTTGATTGTTACATCATGAAACGGAAAAGTGACGAGCTAGATAAAATTAATAACATGTTCAGATTCTTTGAAGGTCGCGTGCGAGTTGAGAAGTTACATGAATCACGTGTATAGAAAATAAATTAATTAGATTATCCATTATTAGAAGAAAAATGAAGTGAAGAAAGCAACAAACATCTTGCAACTTGAGATATCTTGCTTCAGTAGATTCTTTCTGAATTGTTCATTAAAGTCACAACTTCAAGTCGTTTCTAAAGCGACCGTAATTTATGTTTGTATTTACTGATTCATTTTATTTATAAACAACTTAATATGTACTGAAATATCTTATTTACTCACTTTTAGGTTTTGAACAATCATCACAAATATTTTCTTTTGATTCTGACATCTTACAAAAGCGAATCACAAATTCACAATTAGATAATAAATATTTAGCTTGAAAGCTTTGTGGAAATTATATTTCACTTAATGGAAAAGCAAGGAGGATGAGTATGATAAACAATGATGTTGATGCTTGGTAACTTTTGATGAATGATCTACAAAAAGGAAAAAAAAGAGAACAACGATAAAACGAATTATTTATTGTATATTTGATGAATTTCTCGACGAAGTTGTATTGTTTGAGTGGTTTTGGGCAATAAAAGATGTTCTTGGGATTTTTTCGTTCGCTGAACCTTTACATTGTTTAATATGCGGCTAACATATCTGATTATCAAGGTCATGACGTGACTTGGAAGCGTAAATTTTCTTTATTTACAATCTCCGTGGTTTTCCGTATCGATCTACACATTAAATTGTGTGCTTTATAAGCGTTACACTTCCTCGTGACCCACGGAAAATCGTGTAAAAATGCCACATTTAATCTAAATTAAATCATGTTTGTTTCGCCGGTTACAACAACAATAAAAATAAATAAAATTTCACTGGAAGAGCAAATCGAAAGTCTTAAAAAGTTTAAACAATCGCGTTAAGTGTTAAATAAAGCACCGCACGCTTCTTCACTATCGCATGCCGTAGATGCAAATTCTCAATGAATCTTCCAAATTGCTTTGAAATTTTAAATTTATGTTTGAAAATATTTGTTGAACGGAAGGCAAAAGCATTTATTCTCGATAAACGCGGCGAAAAAAAAATATTTCAAGCACTTAATACAATTTTATTTATTTCTCACACTTCAGCTTCAAGTAGAATTTTTTTAAGAATTTAAGCTATCGATGAGAACAAATAGCTGTGAATATTTATCTATTCAAATGGTATTTCTCGATACATCATTAACTTCAATTACAACTTGTAATACATCAACTTAATGATTCTTTCACTTTTCTTCTTCTTTATTTCAGCATAACAACTTTCAAATTATTACTTACAAACTTTATAAGATAAATAATTAAAGCCGGTCGCTTTTACTTTCTTTTCACACAAAAAACACACTCAATCAACTTGTAAATTGACAAAAGTAAATATTAAATATTTTTTCTGTTCTTAATTGCTGTGATTTCATGATTAAATCTTTTTGATGTAAACGAACTTTTAAGACTCTTGATATCCAATATTGAAAAGTTTTGAAAGTTTTTCACAAAGAAAAAAATATTTTTTCGCCACTTGTTGATCGTCTCGTGCTAAACTTTTAAATAACGAAGCTGGCGCAGCTGACAGGTTAACTTAAATACATTTTTTTCTTATGTATTATAAACAACTCTCAATTGAGCGTGATATTTGAATGTGTTCGTTGAGCATTGGATAGTCATTACACGTGTTTGTGATCGGTACTTAACTGTAGTGTGCTCAAACTTTGAGTGCGTCTCCTTCGTTTATCTATTTTTGAAAATCGTAAATTTCTCAGTATTTGACAGGAAGCAAAATAAATTCATTCAATGCGATAATCGCAAATGTATTTGGATATCATTTGTAAACGATTTGACAAAGGTTTGTTTACTAATTTCTGTTTAACCATATTTTAGATCAGTAAGTGTTGTTTTCAATAATTGTTAAGCTACTTTGCAAGTTATTTGATATCAAACAAATGCATGAATAAATTTAGGAAAGAACCCATTCAATTTCTTTTGGAATCCCTCAATGGTTGTCATTGGTTCATGTTGCTAACGGTGAATTGAGTAAACATTAATTAAATATTCGCTGGATAATACCTTGGAAACATTATTTGATTAATTAAATTGATTTTAAAAGGTGTCGAATTAAATGTTTATTTTAAGAAATTCAATCCTGGAAATTTTTTTGACTTTGTTTCTCTAATCCTAATTAGAAATAGTGAACACTTTTAATTGTTTATATAGATAGCAAATATCTGTTTCAATTTGAGATAAATGATGACTTTGTTGTTGAAAACTAACCGAACGTAAATATTTACTAATATCGTTTAACAATTGAATAATATTTTGATTGATATTCAAAAGTGTTTGTCAAAATTCTTCTATGTAGACGATTCTTCAAACATTACAAATAATATTTACAACGTCAAGTCAATATTTAATGAAAACAACTTAAAAACAGAGATTATTGTTATTGAGATGATTATCCAATAAAAAAATGTTTAAGGTTTATGATTAGTGAGGTTTTTGTAAAATAATTTAAAAAATTTCATTTACCCATTCATCATGTTAATAAAACATATTTACAAAGCATCACTCAAATATTTTATAAAACGAAACGAAAACATTTCCTGGAACGTTCTTTTTTACAATTTCTAGCAACTTCTCGAAATATTTAGATCATGAAGACTGACAATTGTTGATGAATGAGAAATCTTTTTAAAATCAAAGAATAACAACAATTTATATCATATCATGAACAGCTCCAAAACAGGTTCCCTCATCGCAAAATTACGGTTTAAGTTCATTGAATCTGCTGTTGTTGTTTATGTTCTTTTTATGTATTTACCCGACCAGTTAGACGAAATCAAACAAATTCGTAACATTCAACTAAAATATGACTGTCTCAAGTCTTTTGTTCCGTCAAACGTTGTATAACATTTATTTACATGTACAAGCATATATTCAAATAGACATCCACATGCTAAACAGAAAAGAGAGTCAATATTTTAAAATTCTAGCATTTCTCATGAAATCAAATCCATGCAAATATTGAATTTGCTTGTTGAACTGGAACTCTGCAAATGCTCAAAAGTTATGCTCCTCTTAATTTAAAACAAAAACCCTTTTATTTTAAGCAATTTAAATGAAAATTCGGGTTATATTTTTAATTGTATGCATGTGGATAAATGTCCGAATGGTGTAATTACAATTTCCCTATCATGTGTGCCTTGGCTAAATAGCCGGCTGATTAGTCAATTGAGTGAAAATTATATCAATTAGTTTGTCGTGAATTAGATTTTCCCACGTTTTATTGGAAATTCTGCATCAAATTGAATGAATTTATAAACAGAAATGAATAATTTATTGTGAGAAGAATTCACTTCCAAATGAAACTACAAATTTAAAACTTGTTTAAAATGATGGAAATGCAGAACAGAAAAAATCCTGGAATTGAATGAGTGGACTCGTAAATAAAATATTTAAATTTCAATTATAAATGAATTCATTATGCTTTTGTTAATAATGAAAAGTTTTAATGATACAAATTATATTGTCATTTAATTAAACATGAAATCATCACGATTTTCCTAAAAGGAACTTGTAAGTGTTCTGAAAGAAAGTTTCAAAGTTACTTCGCTATGTTTATCTGTTAAATATATTCAGATTTTCTCTAGGATAAATATTACCATAAAATGAATTTTTAATAAATTTAAACTTTTGTTTAAGCTTGAAAGTTTTCCAGTTTCGAAGCATACAAAACCAACTCCCATTCCTAATTCACAAGAAGTTTAATAACTTTATGAAAATAAAGAAGTTATAATGTCAAGTCGATTTTTAATAAAAAATTTTACTTTTAAGTTACTTGAAATTTTACAACATGAAGATTCAATGTAAGAAATCAAGAGAAATCTTTCTTCAATGATAAAAAAATGAAGAAAAAATTGTGCTATGAAAATATTAAAATATAATTTAAAATATCCTTTCAACAAAAAATGAAAAGATTGGAAACCGAACAAATATTTACAATGGAAAAGGTATTCAAGATTCAGCTACAGAATCTTAAATTTCATAACATTAAAAAGGATGTTTTAGTAAAATGAAATTCTCCTTAATCAGGTTGAAGTAGACATTTACAATTGCTTTAAAAGATTTTCCTACAATTTGCAATTTTATCAAAAAATGTCTCTCTTGCTGATAAAATTAAGTAGATTAAAAACCTTTTTAAAATTAAGATATTTGAACGCATTTGCATGTATGTTGACAATGTCAGTGCTGGGGTTCTTCAGGTTGCATAACTTGAGGGGAAACGTCAACATAAATATTTATTTATCCTCGATTTGTACATCCTTAAATAGATCCGCCTACCTGATTCTTTAAATAAAATAGCTTAAAAATGCAAACCAAATATTTTCTATGTAAACCCGAAGAATTATTTGTGGAAGTAACGAATATTTATCTGAAATATTTTATTCATGCACCTTAAATAACAAACAAAATTTTCTTTTGCTGAAAGTAAAAGAAAAAAAAAGATTCTCGTATTTTAAGATCTCATATCAATATTCTATTTTTAGAGCTTGCTTTTCATAAATTCTGAACAACGTTGAGACACTGCAATAAAAAATTGTTTCAGATTGCCTTTGTCTCTTACGGTTGTTATTATTAGATGACATTTCCAGATAGACTAGATTAAAAATATTGAATAACTCATAAAAATAATAAACGAGACATAAATAAAAATTAGTTTCTTATTGTCATGACATGACTCGAAAATGCCAAAAATTTCTTACTTCCTTTATTCAATAAGAAGAAATTTCTCTTGAAGTCTATTTTTTGTTAAAAGTATTAATTTTTGGAAAGAATTTCTGGCTGTGAAAGCTCCATGATGTTATTCGAATTTTTGTATTCATATATTGAGCGGAAATTTCTAAATGAAAATTTAGGGTAAAGCAGAGTTTTTGAAATTCTCGTATCAATTTGAGTTTTCCGCTTCACAACTTCACTTGAAAGGAGAATTCTATGACATTTTTCATTCACTATGATCACATCAAACTCAAATTTCTCATTTTAAAAGGAGGATTGATTTATTTTTAGGAGTTAGGACGAAAGAAGAGTCAAGAAACTGCCTTTATTAGGCGACAGATTGAGTTGAATCGTTCTTCCTTTGCCTCCCGAGCGGAATCGTTATTTGTTTGTCTCCCGAGTCGAATCGTTCTCCTCAAATTATATCACGTTCTGCTAAACTGTAACTCAATATCTCATTCCTTGTAGGATTTTTATAGATTGCAAATGGTAAGAAAAATCCTCGTCTTCTGTATTGAAATTCAATTTTTAACATGCCATAGATGTAAAGCGGATATTCTTCTCTACATACGAACTTTATAGACGTTTTCTTGAGATTTTTATAGATGAAAAGAGACAGTTTTAGATTTTTATGTGCGAAACGATCTCGTTACAGATTCATGAGCTTCTACACTGTTTCTCCCATAAAGAAATGATAAAATTAAAGGCACAAGCTTGTGTTTCGTTTATATTTTAAATAATTTAAAGACCAAACTTTCTCAACTGTTTTTGACATATCAATTTGATTAAATAAAGTTTGTTAAATCGCTTATTTAATGACTTGAATATATGTTCGAACAAGGAATTGCAAACAGAGATTACGGAACATTAATAATCAAAATTTGTCACATAAATTAAATAACTTTATGTGCTGCTCAACTTTAACATAAATTAATCTCTTTCTTTATTCACCCTCCCACGATCAAAAACGACGAAGACTCCCAATATTTACAAAAAAGCAGATTCAAATTAAACTATGATAAATTATTGCAAAAAGTTTCACCTCCAGCAATCTCATTTTCGCATTGAGATAGAACGAAAACAAATAAGAAATAAGATTGGGAAAATCTCTTTTGTGTATGTTGCCGTTGGCAGACTTTTATGAACAAAAAAAAGGTCTTAGTGCTGCTATTTTTGCTGCTTCATGTCTCTTCGACCTCTCATCGTCCCCTGATCGCATCTATTTTAATTAATTACTTATAATTGTGCTTTATTCAAGTTGACGTTGATTGAAGCAGTGGCCGCCCTTTTCCAATTTATCATTTTATATTGGAATCAAATGACTCGAGTGGACGATCTTATCCCATCTTTTCTTATCTTAAGATAGTCACATGAAACAAATGAATGGATTTGATTAATATCATCATAATGAGTAAGTTCTTTTAGCTGCAAGTTTAAATATTGAAAAGATGAAAAATGCCACCCGTAGTGTTTAATTTTCAAACTCTTTAGCTTAACTTTTACAATTTTTCCAGCTGTGAAAATGTGTGAAAAGTCGAAAACTAGAGAAAAGCTGAGAAAAGGCAATTTGGAACTGTAAAAAGAACATAAAGAAATTACCGAGTGGAATACCAATGAGTTGAAAAATAAACATGAAATTGATTATTTGGAAGTTGGAATCCTTTTTCACTTTTTTTTTTCTTAGAAAGTTGGCTTAATGCATGAGACATGTAAGGCTATATACGCCAACTACCGAGCATAAAGAGTAGACTCAAAAATAAAAAAGAACGAAATAAATTGTACGATAAAACAATTTCTCCTGAAATTACTCTATAAAAGCCAAAGGGAAAAAGTTTATTAAAAGAGCGCAATTTCATTTTATTTAATGCCTGCCATGCCTTTTTTTTTTCATAAAGCATTCCTTTGACATTTTACTTTGCTATCGTATGTATTAAAAGAAAAGGTAATGAAGTAAAAGAAAATTGCTGATACAAAGATTACGTAAAATAATCAAAAGGCTTTCTTCTCAGTTCGTGCGATTGAATTTTCCCTCACAGAAGCTTTTTTCATTGACTTTAATTGAGCAACATTTCAAAATAAATTCAGTTGAAAGTCCATTCAATTATGTTCTTCTCTGATAATTCATTAAATTCGATTTTCAATTTTATAAATGATGATTTGGTAGACTTTAAGCTTAACAACTTTAACGTCAATTTAAAAAAATAAAATTGGAGATTATGGAAATATCCGTCGCAGGTTTGCGACTCAGTTATCAATTAAAGCATTTGACAGTTAATTTATAAAGACCCATGTGAACATGCAATTATTTATATGTTTACAAATGAGTACATATTTCCACCAAGGGTCTCATTACTTTCTTTTTCAATTTGCAAAGCTGTTGGCTATCGATCAAACAAGAGCTTAGCAAATATTTATTTTCCCTTTTTATTTTGATGGGTTATTAGCATAGAAGCAGCTTGACTAATTCTTTAGCTTTTCTCCCAGCCTGACAGCTTGTATAACTTGACGATTTGATTGTATTTTCGCCTTACATAGAAAAAGAAAAATTCACTAACAAAATTCTACAAAAATGTTAACTTTGGCATTAACTTAAAAAATTATTCAAGCAAGTAAATTCTATTGTTACTAGTCTAGTTCTTGGGAAGTGATTCATGTTTCTAATAAACATTTCACGGTAATGAAAGTTTAACATAAACTGTGATTCATCCCTTCGAAAGGGAAAGGAAATGTCAATTGAAATGATATAAAGGAAAGGAAATTGCTAAGGATAAAAAACCAACTTCGAGGTGTTCAAACGAAACATGTTGGAGAGTATCTGAAATTAGTCCTTTAACCCCAATTATGAAATTGATTTTTCTTTGATATAAATTCTAAATTTGTGACTCAATATCTTAATCACCAAACGAAAGATGCGTCGCTATTCATAGGAAATCGTTCAAGCAATCGTTAAACACTTTTTTTTTTGCTTAACTTGTTTAACTTGTCAGAAACCATGCTTGATGACACTATCAGAAGGATCTGGAAGTTCTCCATGACACAAAAATTACTGTTTGAAAGAGAGAAGCTTTTGTAACTACAACATTAAACCATTCCACATGAAATTTATTCCATTTAAGTTCCTCATACACGCCATAAATAAGTTTATACGAAGACAGGTGTCGTAAAAGCTGTAATAATATTTTTCTTTCTTCATTTTTATGACACACGACACAGAAACTTTCTTTATGAGACCGTCCTTTTGATTGATGAGACTTTTTTCCTTTCGTGGAGAAAATATTTCTCTGTTCGGTGACGCTCAGAAGATTCTTAATGATGACCTCCAATATGTATTCTTTACATTCCCTTTTATTCAATAATATTTACTATTGACATGATATTTACTTTTTATGTAACATTCAATAGAATCTTAAAACATTTTCTCACTCCAAACAATTGAAACTCAATTCAGTGTTAAATTGAAAAGAAAAGTGAAGAAAATTTATTTTTCCTTCCATCGAAACTGATTGAGTTGAATCAAAATAAGAGAAAAAAACTTTTTTTTCAAATCAATTAAACTTCGAAAGCAATTTTGAAAATCGTTTTGTCAAATGACGTGAACAAACATGTTGAAAATAATTTCCAAAGTTTATTTTTGTGGAAAAGAAAAACCTCAAATGTTTAACTTGCGGATATATCAAAATCACTTTCATCAGTTTCTTCTTTAATAGAAGTTTTTAACAGATTCGATCTCGTTGTTGTGTCATCTGACTCACTATCAAGTAATTGCTTCACCAATTTGATGTCATCTTTTTTCGATGGCCGATTTGAATCATTGAAATCTTTCTCTCTCTCACTATTTATGTTCAATGGATTTGAAAGTTCAGATAATGATGTCATATTCGTGGTGCTTTCATCTCCCACAGCACTCATTTTCGCCACATTTTCATAATTTTGTTCTGGAATCTGTTCATAGTTTACAGTTTCAAGAGGCATCATTTCGCTTGTCGGTTGTGATTCATACACATTCATGTCAGAATTCGAGATATTGTAGATATCTGTTTGTGGTGTTTCTATAATTTGTTGAGAGTGATTCTCATCACTGCTTAAATTGTATGCGATATTTTCTGAATATTCAAAATTATCATCATTTGGTTGCTCTTGATTCATTTCGACTTTGTTGTTGTCGATATTCTCATAATAAAGTTGCGGAGTTTGTTCTTGATATTCTTCTGATTGTTCATGTGAATAATTTGGATCGTCATAATATGTTTGAGGCTGCTGTTGTTGCTGCTGACTTTGATCGTAATCATAATAAACTCCAGCATCAAAATCGTTTGTATAATTAGACGAAATCTCTTGAGCATCATCATAATTGCCGTGCTGATAATTGGAATCCAATTGTTGAGAATGCGAAGGATTGAAACTGTTTTCATCTTGTTGTTGAGTATTATCATGGTGAGAATAAACATATTCGCTTTCCTGCTGTTGTTGCTGCTGATTCTGCTGTGGGTCGACGTAGTTCTCGTAATTTTGTTGAGTTGAATCATAAGAATATTGTGCATTATCATAGATAGCATTATTTGTTTGCACGTCGCTAGCATCATACCCGAGAAACCAAAATTTACATGTACGTTTCAGATCAGCCATGTGACTGATTTCTCCATATAAAAAATTGCCCTGGATATGTAGCTTTGCAAGTGGCAGTCATATGGCAGTCACATGCAAATTTTGGTTTCTCGGGATATTGGTTTTCAAACTGCTGCACCTGACCAAACTCACCTTGATTCTGATACGCTTGCAAAGTTGACGTGTAATCGTTTTCTGTAGTCAAAGCATCGTCATAAGCTTGCGATGGAATAAAATTCTGCTGATTTTCATCTGCAACAAAGTTTTCATAATTGTAATCTGCTTTGGAAGTTTCTTGGGATTTGATTTCATTTCCATTCGAAGCTTCTGGCCATTCATTTTCATCAGTCTCGTAAATATTATTTTCAATCGAGACTGGCCTTTGAATGTTCTCATGAAAAGTTTCGAGTTGTTGAATATTCTGAGGTGAATTGACTTTTGCTTCGTCATTTCTGATATCAGGCGAGTCATTTATTGATAAAGTTTCAATTCTTGCAGAATCATTCAATGATGACGACGACATTCTACGCTCACTGATCTCAATTATTTTACCTTTCCCATCATAATAATCGCCTTCGATTTTCTCAATCTTCCGGTAAATTTCATTGATTTTATCATTTAACGACACTGCTGATGCTTCGTTGCCATTGTTTATCGCTTTCGTTCCTTCCTCACTGCCTACAATGTCGTCTGAAGAGCCTTCAGCCATTGAGTTATTGGTTTTTATTTCGGATTCATATGTCATGATTCGGGTTGCCGCATCTTCTTTATCTGTGATTTGAATTCTATCGAAATCACGCAATTCATGTTCAACACTCGATGTTGGATGTTGTTGATGATGACGATTCTCACTGCGATACTTCTGTTGCTCATCAGAGAACGGTTGTTTGTCATTATGATAAATGGTTAATCCAGTCTGCTCTAATGGTGAATTATTGTTTTTTTCTTTTTTTCTTGATACTTTTCGAGATGTTTTTACGATTGTTGAATATTCGTATTACATTTTCTTCTTTCATAAATTTTCGTTATTTTCTCTAATAAAAATTTTATTCCCCGAAATCTGAAAGTTTCAAGTTTCACTAAAACTTTTGACTTGTTCACTAAAACGTTCTACCTAAATGAAAAGTTTAAACGACTTATAAGTTATCCTTACCTAACTGATCTTTTCACTTTAAAGTTTAGAACAATTTTCTTTCTCTTTCCACTAACACTTTCACAAACTTCTTCTTTCTTCTTTTTCTTCTTGACAGATGATCGGCATCAAAACATTTTAAGATTTCATAGACTTTGTGAATTGGATGTGAACAGAAGTCTTAAAGTTTTGATATTAAAGAATTTAAGACGAGTAAAGTTTAGAATTAAATTGAAGAGAGATAGTTTGAAACTAATATTTAGTTTGCTTAAAAGTGTTTACTAATAACAAATATTTCATAAATAGAATTATGTGAGTTTAAAATATTTTACACATAAATATCGCGAAACATTAACTTTAGTGGCAAATTCCTGCTTTGCAATGAATAGATAAATGAAAAATTACAAAATATCTTCCATTTCCGAACATTTTCATTTCTGTTGAATATTTTATCAACCGGCATAACAAGACCAGCTGATTTATGTTGCAAAATCTAAAATAAAATGTTCTAAAATAGAAATACATGTTAAGATTATTCACAGCAGTTGTTGAGGCTTGCTGTGATTGATAATAAAATGAATGATTTTATTTAGATATGTACATGAATAATTAAATAATTGAATAATGAAAATCAAATACGAAAACATTATCTAGGCTGTGGCTGTTCCTGATTTTCATTCTAACTCTTCTCGCGTATAATTTCGAGAATTCAAGACGAAGATTTAAAAATACGCCACCCGGACCCTGGGCTAATTATATTCCATTTATTGGCTACTTACCATTCCTGAATCCACAAAAGCCCGAACAGTCGCTCACGAAACTCGCTGAAAAATATGGAAAAATATTCAGCTTACAAATGGGATCAATTTTTACTGTGGTGTTGTCAGATGCAACTTTAATGAGAGAAGCATTCAAACGTGATGAATTTTTAGGGCGAGCACCTCTTCGAGTAACTCACGGAATATTCCATGGTTATGGTAAAAGCAAAAAAAAAACGAGAATTAATAAAAAAAAGTTCACTAACTTAACTTTGTCGAAACCCCAATGCGATGCTTTTACATTAGGTCTGATTTGCATCGAGGGTGCTCTGTGGAAAGATCAGCGTTCTCTCGTACAAAAGTGGTTACGTGATCTCGGCATGGTGAAGTTTGGTTTGAAGCGTGAACTCATGCAACAACGAATAATGAATGGAATCAACAATTGCATCAGTGAGTTTAAAAGTTTGCATTTAAATGAAGTCAACCCAGCATCTGTTATCATGAATGCGATTGGAAATATTGCAAATGATGTTGTGTTTGGTGTCACTTTTGATAAGAATGACGAAACATGGAAATATTTATTACATTTACAAGAAGAAGGCGTGAAACTTGTAGGTGTCAATAGTGGAGCTAACTTTCTCCCTTTTCTTAGGTATTTTTGATTTTTTATACTCAAGTTTTATGAGCCTTATCTACGTCTCAAGTTCTTCCTTTCATTTCCCATTTCGAATGAATCAGATTTCTGCCAGACAACAAAAAGAACATGAAATTTCTCTTAAGCGGAATAGAAGCGACACATAAAATATATGATGGAATTGTGGATGAATGCGAGAAGACATTGAACACTTCAGAGTGCCGCGATTCCATTTTAAGAAGATTTTTATTGGAGAAACGTGACAGAGAGGAAAGAAACGATGGGTTAGCAAACAACTGCAGTCGAAAGCAACTTAATTACCTCTTAGCTGACATGTTCGGTGCTGCACTTGACACAACATCACATACTTTAAGATGGTACTTGCTTTTGATTGCGTTGAATCTCGATGTTCAAGAGAAGGTTTATCAAGAGATGAAAAATCACGGCTTAAAGGAAGAATATTTGCTTGATGACGTTGCTCAACTGCATTATCTTAAAGCTACAATAGCTGAAACTCAACGATTGAAGACAGTTGCACCATGTGGCATTCCACATGGAAATCCTTACACCGACACAACTCTTGAAGGATATTACATTCCCAAAAACACAATGGTGAAACCTAATAGTGAAAAAAAAACCTAATTTCAACTTCAACAAAGTCATTTATTTCAGATTCTTCCCTTAATATGTGCAGTGCATTTGGATAAGACAATGTGGGAAAATCCAGAAATTTACAATCCCAATCGCTTCATTGATTCAAATGACATTTTCTTCACACCCTCAAACTTCATTCCATTTCAGACTGGCAAAAGGTAGAGTGCTTTATATTCAATTTAAAACTTGTTTTTTGAATGGAAATTCTCTTGTCTTTCATCTTTCATGATTGAATAGGATGTGTGTGGGTGAAGAATTGGCAAAAATGGTTTTGCAATTATTTTGTGCAAATGTTTTACTCAACTTTCGAATCAGACCTGGACAAGATGCGGCAACATGGGACTTGTCAGGAATAAGTGGACTTACACTTAGTCCTCCAGACTTTCAATTGATTTTCGAAAAACGCTGAAAGATATGAAAGTACTTTAAGTAAAATAAAATTTGAATAAACGAAGACAAATCAAAATTTATTTTATGTTTCAGTCTTCATCTTTTTATAAAATCAAATTGGAACTTTTATTGTAGAAAAACATTGCAATAAAAATATTTTTAGAAGTTTTAACAACAACAATTTTTTATTGCCTCCTACACAAAAAAAAATTGTTAACATTTGTTTGAAAGCTGTTTAAAGAACCTTCAATTATGTGAAATCAAAGAAGGATATTTGGTGTAGGTAGGCCATTAAAATATTTTATATGTTTCTTGAAATATGTGGCAAAAACGATAACAACATCGACAACAACATGACGTAAATATTTTTTAGATTTAAACAGTTCAATCAGCATTCCAATTAATTACATCTCATCTATAAACCTTAAATAAATGCGCCATTTGAACATTTGTAATCTATTCTTAATGGCTTTTATTTAACCACCCACAACTGAAATCGAATCATCAGCGACAAAAACTCGTATAATTGAATTATTCTTATAGTCGAAATCACAAATAATTAATGCTGATTATGTACGGTCAATTATGTCGTATTTGACTTAGGCGATGCGGAAAAAATTGATTTGCATTACAAATTTATGCTTATGTAGCTTATAACAATGGCGGGTGAATAAATCATTCGATATGTTGGTCAAAGAAAATGAAAACGATGAAAGGAAATCGATTGGATTCGCTTCATTAATATGATCGGCTTGAAGAAGAGCTTAAAAGGATTCACTAAAACTCAATTAGTTTCCATTCATGAGGATTCAAGAAGAAACATGACGACGCAAGTAAGAAAAAAAGGAACTAAGTCAGCAAATGCATAATATGCTTTTGTTTTATTCTACTTTTCGATGAATGAACGTAATCCTTCAAACGAGAAACTGAAATGAATCAATCAACCTTACGGAATTTCAACATGGTAATCAATTTCCTTTTTGTCCCAAAAGACAATAATGTTAGAAATGAACCAACATTGCTTCAAAAAAAGATTTTTCCTGTTTTTGAATAGATACGAATCAATACAAAGTTTTTTCATCATCAACATAATTTCATTCTCATCGAATTGTCGAAGGAAAAAAAATTCTTAGAACTAAACTTCATTACAACTTCTTAACACGTTCGAAAGTTTTCAAATTATCTTGTATGGTATTGTTGACCCAAACGGCATGTAATGAATATTCAGTTGCTACTTCTTTGTTGTGAACGGATAACAATATAAAAAACAACAAAACCTCCCTGAAGCACAATAAAATTTCCAAATAATGTTGCAATAATTTTCTTTAATTTATTTCATTGTTAAAGGAAAACGCGCCAAAAAATATTCGCTTTTAATGCGATGCTCTTAAAAGAGAATAAACGACAACAGACACTTGGAGCAGTAAAACATTGTTATGACTCTCACCATAAGTAACAATGAAAACACTTGCGCAATGCATCAATAGAAAATGTTTTTCATATTCAATTTAAGGGTGGAATAAGGAAAAGTCGAGAGAAAATTTTCAATTCTCTGAAACTCTCAAGCTTTGAATATTGAGACTGACTTTCATTCAACTCTTACAACGTTTTTCTAAAATTCCATAACAAACCACAGAGAATTAAATCTAAGTAAATAACATTTCTTAATAGTCTTCAATTATTTATGAAATTTCTTTATTATCATTTTAAAAATATTTTCAACTTTGGAATTACATTTTTGAAAATAAAAATAATTGACGGAAAATTCTTTGAAGAATATCATTAGTCGGTTTTACATTAAAAGTTGTATAATGTGATATCCAATAAATCATTTATTAGATGTAGCATGAGGTGAATAAGTCTTTGATGGGAAGAAGAAGTATGTCAAATTGATATTCAGTCATATCAAGAATAAATAAGAAAATTTATGTAAAGAGCTTTGAGCCACTCGTAGGCGAAAGTATTGACATTTCTTTTTGTCAATATTTCATTAATTGAAAACAAGATTCACTGTTGATATTGAATTTGAAAGAATTTCATGATATTTTTCTTCAATCAACCTAAACAAGCTTTCAACGATCTAAAATAAACTCGTTGAAAAGATTTTTATGAAGTTTCATTCTCGAAGCAAAGCTGTTGAGATTATTTTATGGTTTCTATTTGTGTACAATGCTCAAACTACTATCTAACTATACGAATAGATTTTATCATTCTTAAAAACATATAAATTTAGGAAATTCCTTCTGAGAAGAAATTTAATTTGGTTTAATTTGAAAATTTAAAAAGCAAAAAATTTCTTCAGGAATTCTAATAATAACAAACAAATTGCTTGCAATCGTCAAAAAAAACGTTTTGATATGGGAAGAAAGTTTTAATACACATAGCTAACTTCTACAACAATGAAGCTCTAAGAATGAATTTCCCTTCACATGAAAATTTTCTTTTTTTAGTTCATAAATCGTATGAGTAAAAAGTTTCCGTGTTAAAAATTATTCTAGGAAAAATAAATTTGATGCAAATTTTGTTTTTCAAAGCTTTCCATCTTTAACAATGTTATTGAGGAAGAGTTTAGTTAAAATTTTTTACATAACATCCGTTAGACAACTCGAAGGAAAAGTCAAAGTTAAAGTGCTCAAAATTTTCCTCTTTCCTATCAAGTGATTATGACTCGGTAAACCTAAGGAGCAAAGAGAAATTCCTTAGCTTGATTGTGGACTGAGTTGTGGGCGACAGGAAGCAATTAATTTATTCTTTGGCCACAAAATTCTCACAGCTATAAAAAGCATTTCCGCAACGAGTTGAGCATTTCTTCAAGACTATCCTCAATTTTCATTGCCATTTGTTTCCATTTGCTACTAGCTTTTCTTTACCGTTTATATTTTGTCGCACCAGAGAAGCAGTTGTGATAAATTTTCGACTTTCGTTCATGTCATCATTTAAGATCTTTGAGGTTGATTTCCTGCTTTTCCTGTTAAATCACATCTTTAAGAATTCTCTTGAAAATTTTATTTTATTTGATTAAAAATAATTAGCGGTTGAATTGAAATGTTGAGCATCAAGTTGTTGAATGACTCTTAGATTGAGAGTCTTCAATAAATTACATTTCAATGTTATTACTTTTCTTATCTGAATTAAAGCATTTTTCAGTTCCACATAAATCCAATTGATTTTTAATCCGATGAGAAATACATAAATGTAATGAAATATCTATCAGACGGTGAAATTAAATCTGGATTAAACTGAAATATCGTTAAAAAAATTATTCTCTCATGCTTCTTAACTACATTCGAATAAAAATCAGTGAAATGATTGAAAACGTTTTCGTCACAATTTTCAAATAAATTTCGATCAAACTCATCGTCAATAAATTTGTTTTTAATGCAACAGTTTTTAATTTTTATCGTTGCTTTTCTGGGAATTCTATTTCTACTTAGCTTAAATCTTAAGCGTACTTCAATTTCTTATTCAACTTCCAAATTTATCTCCTGCTTTATAATCTGTTTTACCGGATGAAATTTCTTTACCACGATGGTTAGCAATCGATGTTTAACTTATGTATGAACCAATAACAATCTGGAATCAAATTGAATCTCGATATAATGAAAGCAATTTTAATGAATAAATAAATGGCCATTTTCCGATCCGTTCCAACACGTATGATACACAATGAAGAACCTAATGGTTCAATGATACGATAGAAGCTTTATGGATGAAAATTACACTGATTAAGTGGTCATCCATTAAATCTTGTCGAGAGTTTTCCTTTCCGGGTTCTTTTAATTGTCCCAGAATGCACGATTTCTTCTTTATCTTTCATTTATTTAGCTTGAAAGATTTAACTAAGATAACCGAAACATTAAAGAGTTGAATGAGAATAAAACATTCTGAACCCAATTCAGAAGTTTTGCAAAAATATTTTTTCTATTTGTTTCATTTTATATGAACAAATATTGAATATTGAAAAGCATTTTGAAAATGTATTTTAGTTTATTTTAGGTAGATTTTATAAAATAAATAACAATATCAAGCTCAGTGAGTTTTCAGAGCATAAATGCTTGTTATTTAGCCATCGATGAAACAATATATTCTAAAAACATTTCACTGAGTATTTCAGAGATCTATGACATTAAAATTTGCAATGTTAATGCTTTGTGATGTTCGTTAAACAACGTTCTTGAGCTAGATTTCCAGTATTGTATTGTCTATCGTTGGTTGAGTGAAATTCTTAAAAATTCTCGTTATAAGAATAGAAAATATTCAAGAATTTATTTACATGCAACAATGCAACGTAGCAACATAACATCCACAATACAAATGATGAATTTTCACAACACTTGTGATGAGAATGTTAAGCAAAAAAAGGTAAATAGGTACCTTCACTATTCAGTTCGAAATTGAAACAGATTTTTCATTGTTTCAATATATTGAAGTTCGTAGAAGTTTTAATCTAAATTTTCTACTGTTCAGTCTCCCTATGATGTATTGCTGGAAGCGTTTAAATAATTGTTTACTGAAAGTTGTTCGAAAAACTTTTGAAAGCAATGCTAGAAGGAACGAAACTAAGAATAAAGCTGGTCTATGGTATCAAACATATATTAAACGCCTCAAGAATGATTTATTTTTATTAATTGTATGTAAACTACATGGCCATGAACATTTATTGTGTACAGCACCTTGCTTGGTTGGCAGCTACATATGTAAATTATTAAGTATTTAGTCGATGGAGTGAGTAATCACATTCATATTCAGTAAGAAAAGAAATGATTTATTTAAAACGTGATGCTCAAAAGATTAGCCTAAAATAAATTCCTCGCTTAAGTATTTTCCGATTTTTCCTTTTATTTTCCGTTTTAAGCTGATTTTTAAATCGTTGACAGATTTTAATGACAATGTCAGTTTTTAAGAAGATTTGGGATGAGTTCAAGAAGTTTGCCAGTGTTGCGAGTTGATCACCAGCTAATCCCAAGTGTAGGTGGAATTTGATTTCAATTTGTCAAGCTCTGAAAAACACGAAAGAACTGTCGGGAAAAAAACATTTCAACGCAAGCAATGATTATTCTGTGAATTTATAAATTTAATTAAAAGTTTATGGCGCAGCGCGACTTTTAATGTTGAAACTTAATTGAAAACATGAAACAGTTTTTCATTTTCATGGAAAAATCTTCTTTTCTCCACATAAACATTAGTTTTGGGAATGTCGGTTTACGTGTGTGGATTCTTCCTGCTGTTAATGTTGCTTTTTTACATTGAAATTTAAATCTCAAAAGCTCTTATCCAATGTTACCAAAATTTTGCTCATTTCCCTAACTCACATTTAAAGTGTACATAAATATGTTGAGAGAATAAATTTCTGAGGTCGCATTTGTGGTGAATGGTAAAGTAATTAAAGCAAAGTAAATCACTTTACATAAAAGCACTCAACATCTTCATATTTGATGTAAGATAATAAATTTAATGAAACTTTTTCTCCACATTTGTTTAATTTCATTCCTAATTTGAATTTCAAAGAAGTTTTGTAATTCAAGGATTTATTATAATTTTTACTTGTTGATGTTTAATAACAATGTTGATATGTATAATTGTATTAATCAACTTGAGAGCTTTTTATTAGTTACCTTGAAAGGTAAAAGAAGATGTTTATTAAATTTTCTGAATCATCAGAAAGGTTACAATCATAAACTTCTACATCTTAATGAAAAAATGAAAGCTTCTATCGAGATACGAACAAGACACGACTTTATCCGATCACATAAAGTATCAGATGTTTCTTATAACTAAAAGTGATGATATTTTTATCCCCTTTTATTGAATCGACAAGATGATCATAAAAATATTTCACATTCAAGTCGAGATGAAGTCTCCCAAAAGATTCATATTTTATTATTTCACTTAATGCTATCTTGGGATCATCTATAAAATTGAATAGTTTATGGATGTGCAAATATTGAATTTACTCGTTGTGTGAAAATGCATTTTGTATCCAAAAATATCCTAAAATGGAATATTTTAGATTCAGTCTGAAGCTGCAATTAACAAGACAAATAATTGTTAGTTTGTTCAATGATATTTTAATGCACATGCATGGAGTAAGTGAATAGGCAAACAAGATCTCAATTGCAAAATGTTTGAGCTGCAAATTAACGATAACCATAGTGAGTTAAGAAAATAATTAATCCTATTATGTTGGATTGTGGGTGGGAAGGTTCAACTTACTTGAAAGATCTTTTGATGAAAAGAAAATTAAAAAGGATGCGATAAGACGTTACTAACTTTACCTTGGAATTTTCTTTCTTTTTTTGTTCATAATAATATTTGATAAAGGCAACTTTGTAACATCTAAAACCTCGAAATTCTCTTCAACGAACCTTCTGATGAAGTTAATTTACGACAAAAAATTTAATCACCCATCACAAAAATTATAAAAGTTTCAAACAAATTTTGTTTTGTTATATTACCTTAGGTGGGTGAATTTTTACATTCTTTTATGAAAGTTCCTCAAATTTACTTTCAACCACATCACATTGAAGTCAATTTCCAGTGATTCCTTCATTTGGTTCATTCTCGTCGAAGCAGGATATTGATGTTACATAATCTTATATTTCCTTTCAATTCTAAGTATAACACATTTGACTTCGAAGAAGACCAACAGGAAGGTTTCAATTAAGAGAAAAACCTGTTCAGGATATGTGATATCATTATGTGGTACTTATCCGAGGGTGAGCACTTCCAATAATGACGCAGAATATGCATTAGAAGACATCGTTACAGCATCAAATTAACAATCAGAAATTGAGATCGCCCTTAAGATTTGTCTTAATTGAAACACTCACAACAACAAAGTCCGCTTACTGTTAGATTAATTGTGATTGTAAGTTATGAATTTTATTTATGACTGAATTATCCCTCAGCGTCAGACCGAAAAGAATATTTTCATGTTAATTTTTTAGGGAGATTTGTTGTAGGCGGATGGATAATGAGAGCAAACAATATACTTTTGTTATATTATTCTTTTTATGTTTGAGTTGGGAGAGATCTTAAGTTGTAAAAGACGTTAGTAATGAGATAGCAATTAATTATCACCACAATGAACAAGATACGAAAACAAGTCAAATTTACTTTTTTTCATCCATCGAATTTTATTGTTTTAACTTATATTAAGTGTCCAATTTACAGTGCTACAATAAAAAGCTTTTTTCGCATCATTGCTCTTCTTTTGTTTTGTACGTTGATGATCCGTGGAAAAGCCGACACTGATTAATATTTTCTAGACGATTGTCACCCACCCTCATTTGAGACTTTTACTGTCTTTCGATATTTACGCATTCTTTCATAACTTTTTCTATGACCTGTGACGACAAAACTCCCATCAAAACGGAAAAGAAATGAATAAAAATGACGCTTTATAACGACAATCTTTCCCACAGCATTGATTTTTTAATGGAAAGCTTTCATTGAATTAAATGCAAATTTTCTTCGTTTACATTTATATTTCTCAGATATTTGAACGATGTCGCTGTTGAAAGAAAGTCGTCATTTGAAAGTAGTTAATCGAGAGAATTATGCAACATAAAGACCGACTTCAACTTTCAACCAACCATTACCATTGACAGCTTTGTGTAGATAAAACATATTAATGCTTTTGATGGAAGCTTGGATTTAAAGAAGCTTTTCAGAATTATTTCCGGCGACGCTTTGAACAACTTTTCGCTTTTTTTAAACGACTTGAGAACAAAAACTCATTTTTACAAAAGCAAGATAAAGTTTTCAGTTATTTGCGTTTCTTTATTGGAATTTTATTACATTAAGCAAACTTTTTTTTCCCGTTGTTTCTTAGCCAAGGTTATTTTACTCCCACTCGACAAAAGGGAAGACTTACACAGCATCTCGAAGTTTAAAGTTTATTGCCATTGGAATCGATTTTTTTGTTTCAAAAAAACTTTGAAATTGAACAATTTTTTGTCGTTTAGTAAGGGAAAAGCTTTCCTGTTGATTAAAATACAGGAAAGCTGACCGTCAACTATAAAAACCTTCGAAGACCTTTCGAATATTTTGGTGAAGAAAAAATTCATTCTGCAGATATTCCACCATTGGGACATATCAACAATAACACTTCGTTAGACCTTTTTTCGTCTTTCGAGTCGAACGCTGATATTTTTACCGTTGTTTATGTGTATGTAGCCTCTGCCAACTTCTCTTGTTTTCATCCATACATGCCAGGTGAAATTTGTTATGAAATATCATAAAATGTAAGAACCATCACATTTGCATTCAGATTGAAAAATTACAAAGCTTCTTCCTTTGCCCTGGAGAAAATCTCTTTTTATCTTTTTCGGAACTATGAACTTAACATTTCCATTGCTCTCCTGACTGCAGTTTTAAACGAAAGAATATCGCATTTTTATAGTGAAAAGGAAAATGCTTATAATAATTTTCATGATGCATCACTTTTTTATTGTTGAACTGAATATTTAACTAGACCAAGCCACAGGATGCATGAAGAAGCAAACACAAGAAGTAATCATTGCATTAAATATAAAAGAAATATTCGTCATAGACAGAACTTTCTTTCTATCAGACTTGTTGAATATTTCAAGAGTAAAATGGTTGGTAATTTTTCTATTTCCAAAATTTCTTTATAAACCAGGTCATGTCAGTTCAATTATCCTTCAAATACATTATGAGACTCCATTGCTGAATTGTTGATCAATCTAGATTTTATTTTCACAAAGAATTTCCGCTTCGACTGTTGTACTATTTCTCCCTTATTTATTAACAAAAATTCAGAATTTTATACAGCAAGTGAAATTATGATTGTTATTTTGACAACATAAACATTGACAAAGTTGAGAAGAAAACAATGAGGTTGCTGCAGTCTATACATTCATTAAATATATGTTATGTCGAACATTCTCTTATGAGTACTTTTCTTCCTTTTTTGTGTAGAAATTTGCTTCCTAATGAAACATGTTAAATAAAAGAATGTTCTCTTGGTAAACATGATATTTATGAGGTTGTATGAACACACCATGAATCGTGTTTTTACATCTTTTATAAATATCTTAAAAAATTTAAATATTTATTTTGCAAAATATCCAAAAATATTTGAATTAATTATGGATTTATGGTAACACAAAATATTTTCTTACATCTCATATAAATTTGTCCATTTCATTGTGCTTGTCAATTTGTTTTGGTCATGCAAATTTAATACGATTTAGTGATGATATGCCATTTTTCATTCATGAAAGCTATCAACAAATAGAAAATTCACATGACCGTGAAAATTCTATCGCGAAAAATGTTTTTCTTTTCAATTCTTCTTTTTTTCTCTCTGACGATGTGCAGAAAATTTCAAGCGAATGTTTATCAGGACGCATACAGGGAGAGAAAAAAATTCAATTTACAATTATTTTAAATTAATGATCGCAGATGAAAGCCGTGCATGTTAATAAGCTCTCTTATTTCCTTCTTTTTCAATGACAAGTGAAGATTCTCCCATCACATCAATTTTGCATATTTTCATACAACAGTTTTAACAATGAGATCCTTTTTCATCATCCAGCTCTCGGATGGAGTTTGCCATTGAGTACTTTCAAAAGAGCAGGAAAAGAAGAAAACTAACAAAACTATAGGTGGATGAAGGTGCTTTGGAGAGTGAGAAGCTTAACATGATTTCACGAGAACAAGAGAAAAAAGAAGCACGTACAATTTATTTATTATTCAACAGTGATTCACTGATTCAGTCCGTAAAAAAACATATGTATGCTAATGAAGCTTGAAACATATAATTTTTTACAATGTTTTATTCAGCGTCAAATGAAACACAACATTCTTTCCAACATTCGCATAGTTCTCATGTGAGTTTTTTAATTTTATTTCGATGGGAGCAACGGTATGTTAAGAAAAAAATGCATAATTAACCATGAGTGGAAATATTCTTATTTTGTTTTCAATGTTTGGAAACTTAGCAAAAGTTTTCATCCAATCATCCTTATGAAAAAATTGTTGTATAATGAAATGTTTCCTGTAATTTTCAATTCGATTTCCTAATAAATATTTCCTTTTACAATTTGTACAATGAAATTGAAACAAACTTGTGAAAAACAAATAAATTTGGTGTAAAATGTTATAAAATGTAACCTCAGATTTAATATTTCTTTGCTGATAATGAAAAAATTAAAACAATGGATCTATAAATTGTATTAACTTTCATTGACATACATAGTATGGAACATTTTTTCTTTAATTGAAAAAGTTTCGATAGTTTCATATAAAGCCAATTTTCCAATGTCGTTAAAATTTATAATTTGAAATAACCTAAATAGTAAACGAATTGGCCACAGATGTCGCACAAAGGCGCGTAAACAAATTTTGACGACGTCTGTCGGCGAATTTGTGTACTTGGTTGAGTAATCAGCGTAATCCACAAAATGTGTAAACAAACTAAAATAAATTTTTAGCGGAAAAATGGAAAATTTAACTTTACAAAACAGATTAGTGTTCAACAAATGTTTTTGTTGTAATAAAAACTTTATTTTATCTCAACTTATTGATTTGAATGAAAACTCAGTTTATGTCGGAGGTGAAACTATTTCATTTGATGAATTAATTCTTGATGTCTGCTTAATTTTGGTAAATATGAAATAGTTAAACTATTTTTCTACTAAATGTATTAACTTGATGTTCTCATTTTTAGATAGATGTTTCAACAAAGAGTTTTATTTGTGAAGAATGTAAGAATCAACTTGTTCTCTTTCATATGTTTAAAAGAGATGTCAAAAAGTATTCATCGTTCCAAAAAAATTTACAAATGCTTCATATTCTTTCTAAAGTGGAAAAATCTTTAAACTATTCATCGAACATCGATGAATTTGTAATAAAACAGTGTGAGAGTTCAGTTATTATTTCACCTAAAGAGGAAATACATAATATTGAAAGAATTCTCAAAACGGATGAGACAATCATTCACGACAGCTCAGATGAAGTTCATCAAGACACTGCCAATGAACCTGAATATGTTGAAGAATACATAGAAGAAATCATAAAACCAGAAGAAGTTTCTTATGACGAGATCGAAGAAGCTCATGATGAGAGCATACGAAGTGAAGATTTTCATGAACTTGTGGAATGTCGCGTGGCTTCACCAATAGCAGAATCGAAAATAAAAATTGAATCATACAGAAAACCAAAGCAACAGGGTAATCAAAAATACAAATATCCTATAAATACCAATGATAAATTAACAGAAGAGCAAAAAGATTGGATTAGAGAACAAGTGAGGGAAAGTGAAATAATGATCGATGGAAAAATTAATTTCAAGTGTTCGTTGTGCAATGTTATCATTCAAATATCGGGAACTTTGAAGAAACATTTACGAGATTGTCATCTTTTGAAATCAGAAAAAGCGCTTGAAATTGCAAACAGTCGCAGGGAATTTAAAGAAGAAATTCGAAAGAGTAAAATTATTCTGAAAACGTCAAATGGCATTGAAACTATTTGGAAGTGTCAACGATGCGATTCAGATAGGATTTTTAGAAGTGAGACTGGTCTTAAAGTTCACATTCGTTACAATCACATAAGGAATCAAGTAATTGATGCAAAATTCATTGCAAATTGTAAAATATCTCTTGAAACAGAAAATGGTTTGAAGAATGCTTGGAAATGTCCGGAATGTGAGAAAATTCTTATGAGTCGTGATGGCTTAAGAAATCATATGAAATCTGAACATCCAAATACATTGGAAGGAAACAGAACTTATGAAAATAATATCAGTTTAAAACATGACAACAGTGGCGACTTTCAAAGTGAAATTCTTTTAAATCTTTTGGAGAAAAAGCGACGAACCTTAAACCTTGACACTTTCTCTGGAATTTGTGAAGAATGTGGTGTTCAATTCATCAATGGAACAAGTAAGAAAGAGAGCAGTTCCAAGATTCATCACGAATGTCATAAAATACTGAATATTGTCGCTCAATATTATCAACTTCCCAAATGCGATGTCTCGAAAGTTATGTTTAGTAATGACGTCGATCTTGAAAGGTTCTCGTCAAGTCAAGAATTCTTTACTCCAACACCATGCGATGGAATGACAGCGAAAGTTTCACAAAAGCTTAAAGATCCAATCGGAAATGCCAATCCAACGGATGAAAATGCATGGCAATGTGGTCATTGTGGTGTTAAATATCAAACAGAAATTGATTGCAAATCTCACGTCATGATTCTTCATTCAAAGAAGTTTATTTGTCCAGTTGATCACATGGAATTCGAAGGAAGTCGTGGAATTAGTCTCTTCAACGCTCATATGTACAACAGACATCCAGACATGTTTCCAAATCATGTGATTTCTTGCACTTATTGTCATGAAGAATTCGCTTCAATTTTTGAGAAACTTTCACATATGAAAACATGCAATGAGAAGAAGTTTGAATGTGATCATTGTTCGAAGAAGTTCTTCACAAAAACTCAATTGATTCGACATTTGAAAATCGTTTCTGGTGACATCTCTTATGTTTGCGATGTTTGTTGGAAGAGTTGTGCATCAACAATGGATCTGAAACTTCATCGCTTATCACATACGAATCAAAAGCCATACGTTTGCAGTTATCCCGAATGTAATAAAGCTTTCAAAACTCCAACAGCACGATCATCACATATGGAGACGCATAGCAACATAAGCTTCTCATGTTCATTATGTTCTGCCACTTTCCGTCAAAGAAATCTTCTTCAAAGGCATCTGAAGAAAGGAAGTTGTAAAGGAAAAATGAAGCATTTTGTCGTTGAAGAAATCATTGAAGAAAATCAACTTTATGATGTCAGCGAGATATCAAATTAGATTATAAATTAATTAAATCTTAATTAAACATTGACATTTAATAAAAATTTTAATTTATTTGACATCAGAAATCTTGAATTATTGATGAACATGAAAGGAAACAAAAATTCTAATATTTCTATAAATTATTTATTTCATCGGTTCACATGATCGCGATTGAGATGATGTTCGTTTCTTGCCTTGTTGTTTCTTCGAATGTTGACGACGAGTTTGTTCGACTGAGTGTGATTGGCGTTGATGATCAGTTGCAACATTTTTTCTTTCAAGTTGTGGTGTGTCGCCGCATCCATTCAATTTAATTGCACATTGAGCATCTCCTGGTTGTTTTGGCAATGCAGTCATTTGAAGTGTAATGTTGTAAGAATTTGCGTCTGCTCCTTGACTGCCACAAATGCCACAAAGTTTCCTCAAATATACTGAAAGTGCTGCAACAATTGATCCAAGCATCTTCTTTGCTTGTTCCCAAACATTCGTGACCATCACAGCGAAAGTTAAAAATGATGTTGCAATGAGAAAGATTGCAAAGTTGGTAATCATTATCGCTTTATTGCCATAAATTTCAGAAAGCCATGCTTCTAAGACATGAATTGCCATCAATTCCAATCTATACCAAATAAAGAGCATAGAGAACTCCATGTAGAAGACGCAGCCAAGAACTTCAAGTGCACTTGAAACGAACGCTGGACCTTTTTTTTGAAAGCGTTTCGGAATTAATTCGACATCGGTGAGTAAAGCGGCAATCGATGACAAAATCATCACACTTGGAAACTTCATTAGACTTGAACAGCAGTTACGATATTCGAAGAAGAGTGTTTTACGAAACACAAAATGAATGATCAATGTGATTAAAACTGATTTAAATTCGGCCATTATTGGAAAATAATTTTCTATTACAAAAATTGACAAGAAATTTATAAACGCGTCTTAGTTTTGCAAAATTGTATTTAAAATGAGAAGTTAGCGGAGAAAAATAAATTTCCATGATTGCTGTGATGGAAATTTAATTCGGATTGATGAAAGTGGATCTGAATTTGATAAATAATTACAACTTGCTTAATGAAAGGAATGCAAACATTTCAAGTTTAAATTTCTTATCACTTGTCATGTATAAAAAATGTTAACATTGTGTTGTCCAACAGCTGATTAGAAGCTGTGTAAATAATCAAATAAAACATTCTCAAATTTGAGGGACAAGATTTTTAAGCCTCTGTGGCGCAATGGTTAGCGCGTTCGGCTGTTAACCGAAAGGTTGGTGGTTCGAGCCCACCCAGGGGCGCTTAACTTTTTTACTTCTTTAATTTCTTGAAACAAATTTTCTTTACAGTTTCCAACTTTAATTAAAACAAATTTATTTCAATTGGTGTAAAATATATTTCAACGGAAATTAATAAGCATGACAACTTAAACTTTTAATCATTTTCTATTAAATCCTTCTGATTGCTTTTTTTAGGCGAAATTTTCTTTTCCTTCAATCTTTCACATCTTGGACATCGTTTTTGTAAGCCCATCATACAAGATCGATGGAAACATGCTGAACATGTATCACATTTATGGACACCTTCATTGAAAGGATAAATTGGTTCGTTTTGTCCACAAAGTTCGCAAATGAATCCTTGACCTTTGCATATCTTGATGAATGAAAAGAAAAATGAGATTTAACTTTGATTATGTTTTTCTAAACTTACCTCACACTTCGCTATGTGACTTTTGAATTGCTTAATTATCTCGTTCAAGTAGTCAGTTAAACTAGAATTCTCAGCACATACCATGTCATAAACGCTGTAAAATTCGGTACTTTGAACTAAATATCTTCGTGATCCCGTAACGTTATCAACAATTTTGTTCTTCAAAGCAAATTTACAAACATCCAAATATCTTTTCATCTCCATTAAACTTGTTCGTTTTTGACGAATATTTACAAGCTTTTGAACGAAAACAAATAACTTTGGATTCATTTCTTCAAGTTTGATGACTGGACGTTCGTAAAATAAATTTATTTCTTGTAGACTGCTTCTGCTTACAGCTCGTTGTTCAAAGTCCCAGTTATGAATTATGTTACCAGGAATTATGCTATAGTCATTCCAATGACAATTTTTACAATAAAATAGTCCAGAATAGAAGCATTGACGGGGTTGAAGGTAACAATGTTTATTCATTAGTTGAATCTTGCATTCAGCGCATCGATACATCTTAAAATGATATATAAATTGAATAATCTACAATCATTCATCAATATTATTAATTATTTACCTGCATTGAAAGCCCAATTTCCGGACAAATTCTGAATTCAGGTCGCCCTTTCTCTGATACAATAACATGAGCGCATGTTCTAGTAACATATTTCAAACATTTCGTGTGGACGAAATAATAGCATTGTACACAAGAATAACATTGTTGAAACATCCAAATTATATTCGTACAAAAATCACAAAAAATCCTTTTTGACGGATATTGTTTCAGAATTTTGAAGTTGTGATGTGCGATCGAAATGTCATCATCGGGAATGTCTTCACGCAAAGCATTTATATGAGCAAAACGATATCTAAGATCTATTAGTCTTCTTATAAGCCATTTTCTTTGATTGCTCATCTCCTCAGATTCTGTAATAAGATCTTTACACTTCTCAATGATCTCAACTAATTCATCTTTTGACATTATTTTATAATCTTTAAAAAGATTTTTAGTTTCTTCATCAATGTCACGCGATGAAGATGTCATTGATGCGTTCATGGAACTGTTCGACAGATCTGGAGACACAGAAGACATCTGGATAATTTAAATTAACTAGATTACACAATTTACAGTCGTTTTATTAAAAATTAATATTCACATTCAACTTCACTTTGTTTTCATGTTGATTAGTGACCAACTTCACGTTGATAGTCACAGTTAGGACTTGTGATTGCGGCTTAATGTTTACATTTTTGTTCGAAAATACCTAATATTTTTTTATAAACCTCACCTAATTTTTAGCTCACGATTTGAATTGAGTAAATTGTTGTCAATTTTATTAATTGACATACAAGTCACTAATTTAATTGATATACAGAGCAGGAAAAGTTTATAAAATTAAAGTTTAAGCTGCTGAAAAAGTCAAAAAATCAGTTTTCGAGTAGCTAATTAAATTATTATGCATTTATTGATTGCATAAAGATATTTTGTATTACTTTCTCACGGATGTTGAAATTAAATCATTTGAACTTCCTTCAACTTGAGACTTACAAGGTCGTTCTAAATTGGTCAAGGACGTTTGCAAACTTATGAGACAAACAAAAGAAGACATGAAAATTAAACTGATACTGAAAGTTATTATTGTCTCATTTAGCGCTATATTTTACTCTTCTTGACATAAGAAAATTCATAAATATAGAAGAAAAATGTTTAGAATATTCAATAAAATATTTCCAAGACATTTCCGCGAAATTTCAAAGTTAAGAAAGGTTCGGGAAGTTTTTAAATCATTAAAGAAAAAAATTAATTTAATTATCCTTTTAGAGATATTATTACAATGATCAGGATAGACTTAATTATCTCTTGGACAACTTACGAGATAAAAAACATGATTTGATGACACAACAGGAGATTCTTGGAGTTTTAGTGAAAAAGATTGAGAATGATCGGCATGTGATGGATTTCATAACAACAAATGAAGTAAAATATAAAGAAAAAGCTTTTGGTATTTATTTTAATAATTTTAATATCATTTAGACCATCAAATTGCTTCTTGAACCGGAAAGAGACTTAATGGAGCCATGCAAGGAAATTGAAGAAAATTGTCGATTAGGTTTAGGTGCGATTTAAATTTTAATTTAACTTCAAAAAATGATTTTACCTAATTGTTTCTCTGTTTTAGCTCTTCTTGGCTATACACGACCATTGAATACAGAGTATCTCAGAGTTTTATCAGTTGATGGTGGAGGAATTCGTGGGATTGTCGTCATCGAACTTATAAAACGTTTAGAAGAAATAACAAACAAAAAACTTTTCCAGCTTTTTGATTTTATTTGTGGAGTCTCTACTGGTTCCATATTTATTTGTGGTCTAGTCGCTGAACCAAGAACTTTAATGGAAGGAAAAGATCTTTACAAAGAAGTTGCCCGGAAAGTCTTCGAAGTTTCGTCCACTTTAAATGTAATTTCAAGTACTTCACGCCTTATGTGGTCTCATGCTTATTATGACGTCGCATTATGGGAGAAACTTTTACAAGAATACATGACGAATACTCGAATTATTGATACAGCAAAGTTTGACTATGCTCCAAAGTTTTGTTGTGTTTCAACGACTGTTTCAGAAAGGGCTATTGATGCTCATGTTTTCAGGAATTATGTGCTTCCTTACAACGTTGAATCGATTTATCCAGGAAGTCACAATGCAGCATTATGGGTAAGTTTGGATGAAATTGCAAGATAATAAAATAATTAATGTGTTAATTTTATTAATGTGCAGGAGGTTTGTCGATGTTCTTCAGCAGCCCCAACATTTTTCGGCGATTTCGTTCTCGACAATATTGTGCATCAAGACGGTGGAATTCTTTATGTAAATTGAACAATAATTTTTGTTTTCAATAACTTTTATAATTGAAGAAGTTTGTTTTAGAATAATCCATCTTGTGTTGCAATTCATGAAGCAAAACTTCTCTGGCCCGATCAAAAGGTTTGCTTGGTCTCAATGGGAACTGGAAGGTCAATTAATAAAAAGAAAATGGATAGTCAAAAGCTTTATAGTCCTCGACAAGTCTCAAAGTTGTTTAGCAATGAAACTCCACAAACAAGCAGTTGGAAAATGAAATTCTCAAGAATTCTTGATGCAGCTACCGACACTGAACAAACTCATCACATTCTCAGCGACTTAATGACACCTGGGACATATTTTAGATTTAATCCTTATTTAACTGGTAAATTTAATTAAAAATATTTTTGATATTTCATAAATTTCCTAATAATGAATCATTTGCTTTAGAAATGATATCAATGACCGAATGTGACGCTGCAAAACTTGCCCAAGTTGAGAAAGATGCTTTCCTTTACTTCCGTAGAAATGAGGAAAAATTTGAGGAACTTGCTGAAATTCTATTAAAGCCAAGAAAACCTTTAACTTTAGTCAGTGATATGTTTAAAGGACGATTGTGGTAATAAAAATTATTTAACAGAAAACTAGTCGAATAAATACCAAAGTCCAAACTTTTCATGAAAATTATCTTTATTTTTGGTTTCTTTCAAAATGTTAAATGGAAAATTTATAGAAAGTTTAAACTTACAAGAAAAAAATTAACTTAATATGACAACTTTCTCATTGAGTAACATACGGAGAACATTAATTATGTAACAATCAAAAATATTCAGCCATCCATTAGCAGATTAAACATTTCTTTCTCAAAATACCATTTCTGTTCGAAGTTCATGCTTCTTACTGATGGCAGCAATGAATCTAAGAATTGTTCATCATCAGATATCTCATCTCGACTCGGTAAAGAATTCTTTTTCGGATTCGGCATAGATTGAGTTAGGATTCGTTCAAGTTCTGAAGTTACACCGGGTTGTTGTTGATCTTCATTCTGCTTTACGTTATTGGTTGATTCGTTGATAATTTGATGTTCTGTTGGTTCCTTTTTGAGTGGCTTATCTTGGGGATCCTCAATTGTTTTTCTTTTATATGGTGCTCCACGACAAACTTTCCTTGGTAAACTCCTCGGTTTTAATTCGCCAGTATCCTTTACGATGCTATATGGATGAAAATGTTTTCGACACACAAGAGGCTTCTTTATCTTTTCTTCTTTAGCATCAATATTCAAAATGTTACACCATTTTACGTAAAGTGCAGGATTTTTTCTCGAGTCAGGGAAACTGGTAAGTAAAATTAATTTAATAACTTTATTAGAGTCCAGAGCTTGCCAGAGCTCTTTAAATTATAATTTCTTTACCTATAATAAGCCTTCTCTCTGCTAGTGAAAGGAGATTCATCGCAAAATGAACATTTAGATTGAAATTTGCTCATGTTCAGATTTTATTTAAGAACTACTTTAATATAAATTATATTTTTAAGTATTCTTAACAATCACACAACAGAGTTTCTTCCAAGAGAGTAAAATATTGATATAAGTTAGCAAGGCTGTTTTTCAATTTCAATTCATCGGTATTACAAAATACTTTTAAGTTCTAATTATTTAATTCAGATATTCTACAATAATCTTTCTATTTCAGTATTATTTCCACTATTCAAGCTGACGAGTATGTATTCAACGAGTATTTACCTAACTTAATAAATTTCATACTTCCAATTTCAAAATAGGTATATGAGCAAATGACGGGCCATGAAACTAGTTTATTTTTGGTATAATAAAAAATCGTCGAAATAATGTAAACAAGTTTAGACGATTTCTAGCAAAAATTAATTTCCTAATATTTTCACAATTTCTTGATAAAAAATGGAAAAAACTGAATTAAGAGTAACAGAGAATTGTTTTATTTGTGGTGAATTTATGGGTCCTTTTCGCAATGAATTTTCAGTTTGCACAGGATTCTCTGAAAAGCCAATTTACGAAATGTTTGGTGAGGAAACAATCGATTTTGTATCATCGAAAATTAAATTATTTCTCTTCCCAACTTTAGAGTCTTTCACAAAACAAAAACTATCAGATGATATTCTATACAACTCAGGAATTTGTCAAAATTGCTTTATTAAGTTTAATGAATACGACGAGCATTTCACAATGGCAACGAGAATACAAAATGAGCTTCTGCTGCTATTTGACAGTTGTTGGTCAGAAAATTGCAACATCGACATAAAATCTGACATTAAAATTGAAGAAGATGATGCATCCAAATTTAGATTGGCGGAAGTAATGCTAGAAAACAATGATGATGATGAAATTAGTTCAGAGGGAACGGATGTACTTAATCAAAATAATAAAAGATCCAGAAAGCCTTTTCAACCATTTCTTCCAAAAAGTTCTGAAAAAGGAGATAAACGGACATATAAACGGAAGAAAAACTTGGATGAAGGACTGACAGTTGTTGAAATTGATGGGCAGAAAATTTATCAATGTGATGTTTGTAGAAAGTTGTTTAAGGATCGATATAAATTAAAAACTCATCGTGAAATTCATACGACGGAGAGAACTGTGTGTTGTACAGAATGTGGCGCTATGTTTAAAACATTGACATGTAAGAAGTTGCTCCTTATTGTATAAAAGAACATTTGTTATTTTTCAATGCTCTTAGGCCTTTATTCCCATAAGAAAATTCATCGTGAAAGAGTTTATCATCAATGTGATCTTTGTGAGATGAGATACATTCAAAAGACTCAACTTCGGAAACATATGGATGCAATTCATCTGATGAAAAAAGATCATGTTTGCTCGATTTGTGGTAAATAAAATTGATTTCTTGAAATTCTTTTATTTAAATGGTTTCTTTAAGGTAAATGCTATTCTCGTGATACAACTTTAAGTAAACATATGTTCGTCCATAAAGAACATAAAGATATCGTTTGTACTGTTTGTGGATTTAGGTGACAATATTGCGAACAACTTTTTATGGTTGAAATTTTCCAACAGAATTTTCTACTTTCAGATGCCACACGAAGCCTAAAATGGAACGTCACATGGTAGTTAAAATAGAAAAATTATTTCAAAGCATTATCGAACTAACATTCTAATTTTCCCATCTAGAAATCTCATACTGGAGAAAGAAATTATTCATGTAAAATTTGTGGCAAGCGCTTCCTTTACAGCTACAATGTCACTGCTCATATTAAACATGTTCACAATCGTGAAAAGCGGAAAGTTGATGAAGAAAAATTAAGATGTAAATTTTGTGGTAAAAGATTTCAGAAAATTTGGAAAGTCAAAGAACATATGGCGAATGTTCATCACCTTGTGGATCCACCACCAGGTGAACCAGCCGATGTTTTATTAATTAAAGAACAAATTGATTAATTAATTAAATGTTTGTTTTGATAATCAAAGTCAATAAATTAAAAAGTAATGAAAAAGTCTTCATTAATGGTTTTATTCATTCTTTAATTTAAAAATGTTAGATAAGTGTAGTAAATCCCGACGGAAAATAATCCAAGTGGGAGAATGAATCAAACATGCATCAAAATAGGGGAAAAGTTTGACGCATCAACACATGGGAAATTTCAAAAATCCTCCTAATTATGGGAACTTCCCACTTAATCCTTTCAAATTTTAATTTTTCTTATATAAACAAAGTCCCTGTTTTATGATCTTATAAACTTTTCTTATAATTAAAAAATAGAAAGCTGCAAAAGTGCACCATTTTTAATGGGGTTTTAACGATCTGAAGAAGAAGAAATTGGATCGACGTCTTGAAGATTTTCATATTTAAGGAGGAAGAAAATCTAAATTTTTATCATTAGTTCAACTTATTTCAAAGTGACAAGAAGTGTGAAAAAAAATTGAGACAATGGATGATAACTTCTGCCCCATCTGCCTTGGACCCATAGAAGAAACAGGCGTCACAATTGGATGCAACCATGACTTCTGTGCACGCTGCATGATGCGCTGGATCCTACAAACCAAGGACTCATTCGTCACCTGCCCAATGTGCAGACAACAGGTGGATGCAGATGAAATCGTCTTCTTCATTCCATGCCCACCAATAAATAATCCACATGAAATAAACCCACATGAGAAGCCGTCGGACTCTGGAGAGAAGAAGGAATAATTCAAATCAAATGTTTTAATTGACCCAACGGCACCTGAACGCTAGGAATTAAAGGATAACGGCTACACAACGGAAAAATAAACAGGATGAAAACGAAGTCTTGTTAAGTGTCTTCAAAATAATTCAAAAGATGGTTAAAAATTGTAGACTTGTAACGCATAAGACAATTTTTTAAAATTTTAAAATTAAGATTTATACTTATTATGATACCTTATCTCGTCAAATAGATAAATAAAATTGAAATGTTTTACTCTTCATTTTATCAGCTTTTTTTCCACTTTCACCAACTTTTTGTTTCAGTTTTTTTTATGAGCAAATTTTTATGTCAGCATGCAGTTTATAAAAATAATTTTTATTCGTGAAATTGAATCAATAAAGTTTTGTTTGTTTTTCTTAAAATATTCAAATCAACGTTTATACAGCTATTTGATGATGGAAGAAGATTTTTATGATATGTAAGTCGAATATTTATTAAACGAAGTTTCAACATCGTCAAACACTTCAGAACTTATGCCACTTAGACGAGTCATTGTCATTACCTTCAACCTCTGTGATAACACCTGATCATTCAATGGATAAGGAAGATGATAATTTGAATGACATTCTTTCAAGTCCGGAGCCGTATATAAGAACGAATAAACGAAAAAATGCATACAAAAATCATGGTGTAATGATATCAGCCGAAGCTCTTTCTTAATCAATGGCTAAGGAAGAAGAGAAGAAAGTGTTAAAAAGAGAGAACGAATTAGAAACATGAAGACCGAGAATAAACCTTTGCGCAGTTCCAATAGAAAAAAATAAGCGCAATGTTTTTGCATTATCTAATCATTTTAATTAAAAATGTAATTTACAATTTTGAATTACAATAAAAATTATGAAACTTTGCTTTACATCACACCTGTTTCTTCCTTTTAATATCTATTTTAGTATCTTGTCATAAAATCATAAATAAAACATTAAAGTTAATCATGAAAATATCTTTAAGTGGCGCAATTTGATGGTAAAAATTATCTCAGTTGCTTTTTTTCGCTTGTCTAAACTGAAACATCTAAGGCGTGACAAATAAGTCTAAACAGATATTTCATTTTGCGAATTATGAGCGCACTGTTGAAGATAGAATTTTCGTAATGAGCGAATATTGTTCCTTATTAGTCAAAGAAACTTTTGATGCCAAACTCATTTGAGAAGTTTGAATTTATAGATGAATTGATAATAGATAAGTAAATTTAATTAGATAGAATTGAAATTAGAATGTAAGAGACTCGAAAATGTTGCACGCATTTTGTCATTGAAAAATAAAAATCAAAAAAATTAATCAAAAATATTTTTTCATTCATTGCCATTTCAGGTAAAGTTTATATCAAGGCGAAACATCATTATTATTATTGTTATTGCCGTTATTATTGTTGTTCTGTTGAATTGTGTTTAAAATCCGCATGACTTGTCGTATGACACCAAGAATTTGCGTTATGTTGATGTTTCTTCCAGCTTCTCCCAAAATCATCCCCAATGGTCCAAATCCTCCGCACTGTTTAAGTGAAATAGAAATTTAATTTTATTCTTAGAATTTTATGTAAAAATTTCTTACTTGACGAGCAACACGTTTGAGTTCTGGTAAATCATCAGACATTTCTTCATCAATGTCGTTGATATTTCCATGATCAATCGATGTACCACCAACAGCCTTAATTATAACCGTAGTAAAGGAAATTTATTTGCAATCTTAAACTAGTTGATGCTTAACTTACAACAAGAATGAAACCGGAAAGAATCGAGAAACAAACAATTTTATTAACCCACATTTTGACTGAATAAAGTTTTGTCGTGTTTTGATCAACAAAAATCCGAACAACTTCATTTTATACATATTTTGACTTTCAGAATATTTTCAATGTTGAACAATATTTTAATGATTAAATAATTATCTGATTAGAATAAAGATAAAAATATCAAAATTTTCAGAATCAAAGTTTCATTTTTATATCTGCTTTAAACTCATGCCAACAGTTTGCGTTTATAAATTTCCCATTTTACAACCCTCTACTTTAAATTCTATTCTGAGCTCGTTCCAATGCATTAAGGATCCGTCTGGCACCATTTACTAATCTTGTTATATTTACTCGACTGCCAGGTTGTGCAGGGAATTCCGGTGTACCTCCAGCATCAGAAAAAGGACACTTGCAAGAGTTATTAAGTAATATTTATAATTAAAAAGGGTTAATTTTAATTATCTTTGCTACCTGACGTGTCATCCTTTTAAGTTCATCTCCGATATTTCCCACAGTTTTATCATTTTCATGGAGAGGATCGGCATTGACAATCTGGTCATTATAAAACAAATTACTTTTAATACACCCAACTTCTGAATTTCCTAAAATATTTTTTTCGTTACAAGAAGAATGCTTCCCAGAAATAGTAAAATTGCTGTTGGATTCGTTTTCATTTTAACAGCTTTTTTGGAAACTTTCATAAAACGACACTTGATGTTTATTTTATACCTGTAAAGTTCATTAAAGCTGGATAATTACAAGAACGACAAGAATTACCTGACAAGATATTGATCAAAGTAGCAAAGTTTAACAAATGTGTGACCTTTAAAAGTCCTTCACTCAATTCTATTCTAATGAACATTTTTTATTCCAATTTATCTCGAACATTTTTCTGTTTCAAACTATCAAAATCTAAACCAGCTTCATTAAATAGTTTAAAGAAGATTCCTTGTTTATTATCGAGAAGCTTTCTTGGTGTGTCAAATTCCATAATTTTCCCTGCATCTAGCACCATAATTCGATCGCTATCAAGAACTGTATGCAATCGATGGGCGACTGTGATTACTGTGCAATTATTGAATTGACTTCTAATTGTTGTCTGAATCAAATTATCCGTTCTGAAAATAAATAAACATGAATAAGCAATTAAATGACGAAGAAATTAAACTTACTCAGAGTCAATATTTGCCGTTGCTTCATCCATAATCAAAATTTTATTTTTCTTCAGAATTGCACGAGCCAAGCAAATTAATTGTTTTTGTCCAGTGCTGAAATTCGATCCACCATCAACAACTTTAGTGTCAAGTCCAGAAAGACTTTTCACAACTTCTTTCAATTCAACCTAAATAAAGAAATTTTAATTAAGTTTTAATTGAATTTTAAAATGATTTAAGAAACAAACCTGCTCGAGAACTTGCCAAATTTCATCATCATTTCTGGTGTTTAGTGGATCCAAATTATCACGCAAACTGCCAACAAACAAAATTGGATCTTGTGGGATGATTGACAGCTTCTCCCGGAATGTATGAAGACCTAAATTATTAATATCAACGCCATCAATAGCTATGACTCCATCAACAATTCCAAGCTGAAAGATTGCTTGCGTTATGCTGCTTTTACCAGCACCAGTTCTTCCAACGATTCCAACTTTTTCCTTTAAAATGAAACAAAACTGATTGAAATGAGAAATTGAGAAAATAAAATTAATTCAATTAAACCTTTTCATTGATGATAAAGTTCAAATTTCTCAGCACATAATCAGCATCATCGGAATATTTAAACGAGACTTCATTAAACTGAATAACACCTTGGTTAGGCCATGACTTAGGTAACGTCTTTAAGATCCTTGGATCTGTCTCCAATGACCGTTCGCTTTGAAGTTTTGTATACTCAACAACACGTTCAACAGAAGTCATTTGATTCTCGAGTTCAGCTGTTTGTCTCAATCCCCAATTGCACATTCCAATCAAATTTATTGCTTGTGTGATTGCCAAGCCAACATTCGATCCAATTGTATCTTGAAATAAATTTTAAATTTGTACAACATTAATAATTATGCATCAATCAATGCTCACTTTTTGTGCCAAGAACTAAGAAGCTATAAATAATCGATGTGATGTACAATGACGAGATGAAGTCAACATAGAAAGCAAATCCACGTGCTGTTGCCACAAAAAGAAACCATGAAGACGAATTAACATTCTGATGATGATCATATTCATTAATCATATCAGATTGTGAATTAAAAGCACGAATTGTTGACAATCCTTCAAGTGTCGCTGTTGTATGAGTGAACATTGGTGATCTTGCTGGAATGAAATAAATCAAAATTGAATCACATCACAAAATGATTTTACTTACTGATCGCTTCAATTCTTTTAACATCACGAGCGGTTTTCAAAAACAAATATCGTAGGACAATAAATAAAACAAACATGACAAGAGTTGGAATCATCAGCCAATAGTTTACTATTGAAACTATAATTACGATGCCAAATAATTGAAGAAAGAACTGAAATGAAATGAAAATAAATTTAATTAATTTTTGATTTTTTTGGATTAAACGTCACTCACAATTATACAATCAATGACAACAGTTGGAAGTAGCGAGTCAATTGTTCCCATATCCTTTGAAAATCTATTTAAAATCCTTCCTGTTGAGTTGGAATGAAAGAAGAACATAATCGCCCTTGTAACGCCTTTAAATAATTGATCATGGAGGTTCATTGATATCCTCAAACTCATATGGTAGAAAGCAAATGATCGACATGTCATGAAAATCGTTAATGCAACAATCCCACCAGTGTAAAAGTAAACAAAACGTTCAGTTGTCCACCAGTTTGGATCAATGATTCCCGAGTTCTCTTCGATGGAAATGCTATTAATTGATTCGCCATGAATCTCTTCCCAATTCACCCTAAAACAAATTAAAATTCAATTAATTGAAATAACTTTAAAATTATAAAAATTCATACCAAACTGATATAAAATAAATGACGCCACTATGAATCGCTTGTGTAATTAAAAACAAAAATGTCACAAGAGCGACAAATGAAAAATTATTTACTGCTGCAAAATATGATTTGTAAACACTCGTCGATACTTTTCCATCTTGTTGCGATTCTTTTGTTATTGCTTGCTTTTCATGTTGCTTTTCATTCTCTTTCTAAAATGGTAAAAATTCAGAATAAGTTTGAAATTTTCTATAATATTTTTACCTCATCAAATGATTTGCTTTCATGTTTCTCACATTCATCTTCACTGTCATCATGTTTTTTATTTCCCAAAGCTAAGAAATTGTTGTAATCTTTTAATTCCTCATAAGATCCTTGAATTTGTATTTGTCCTTTGTTCATTATGATGATGTGTTTAACATCGTTTAAATATTGTAATTGATGTGTCACGAGAATGCAAATTTTATCTTTTAAGAACTCTTTGATGCACCTTTCGAAGATATGATGACCAACTTGGACATCAACTGCTGACAGTGGATCGTCAAGAAGATAAATGTCAGCTTTTTTATAAATCGCTCGAGCAAGATTAATTCTTGCTTTCTGACCACCGCTGAGACTTATCCCACGATCACCAACAATTGTTTCATCACCATGTGGAAGCAATTCTAAGTCGCGTTCAAGTTCACACGCATGAATCACTGCTTTGTATCTTTTTGAATCAAAATCACTTGTGAAAGTTATGTTTCTCTTTACACTTCCTTCAAATATCCAATTTTGTTGAGCTGCGTAACTAATTGTTCCATTTATGATCAGTTCACCATTTGTCAGTGGAAGTTCTTTTAAAATAACTTCGAGCAAAGTTGATTTTCCACTTCCAACTTGACCACAAATTGCTATTAAATTATGATCACCTAAAACAGCGTCAACCGATTGAATTCCAACACTTGACGTTTCACTTTCTTGCTTCCAATAAGCAGTTGCATTTTTCAAAGTTACACCTTTTTTAACTTTTAATGATTCGTCAGCTTGAGAAATGTCAGAAACTTTCGTCTTTTCAGCAACTTTATGGAGAAGAAACTTTTCAACTCTTTTCACTGAAATAAAACCTTCTGCAACACTTGTTAACGCCAATGGCCAGTAATCAACAAGTGCGTGGTTGATATAATTAAAATACGCAATCGTGACGAATGTTTTCTGAGCTGTTATTGAATTTCCAGTGTAAACATATGTGACAAGACTGAGAAATAACGCAATATCAGTTGCAACTTGAAACGATAACAAAGCTGCTTTAATATTGAAACTTTTCCCAATTGCGTTAATTTCATGCTTTCGTACAGCTTTTATGATGCGACCAAAGGAAATCTCCCAAGCATACATTTTGATGACTTGAATGCCGTTGATGATCGAGAACATGAACTTGACTCGTTTATCAGTACGAAGAGCAGTTTGTAGACGAACTTGCGCTGATTTCTTTCCCAGCCATGCTATGAATTTGAAGTTTAATTTTACTAGTTTAAAATTTAAATTCTTTCTCAATTACCTTGAACTGGCATTGACATTATCAGAACAGCAATTCCAACTAATCCGGCGTAACCAATTTGCGTGTATATCAAGTAACCGGCAACACCTGTACCAACTGGTGCATTCCATAAATTACAAGCAAAACAAATCATCCAATCGAATCGACTAACATCATTTGACATTAAGTTTATCGCTTGGCCTGCAAGTCCATCGGTCATTGTGTATTTGGTAAGACTGAGAATCTGAAAAAGTTTTTGACTTTTAAAAGAAATTTTCATTTGAAGCAATTAAAAATTAAAATTACTTTTTTGTAAATCAATGAGCAGCATGCGACTCGTAGCTTGACACCAGTTTCAAGATAAAATAATTGAGCTGGATGGAAGACCAAAACAATCAAAATTAATGAAACTGCCAATGCTGTTGCAAAGAAGTAAGCTTGTTGTTCGGTATGTTCGTAAGGATTATTTGTAAAATATGCGATTAAATATCCCATAAGAAGTGGCGAAATCAAGCTATTAACAAAAGACATCATAAAAATAATTAATTAAAAAGTGTTAATCAGAGTTAAGCTAACTTACAAACCTGCATGGCAGTTCAACAGCTGAGAAAAGAAATCCAACAATTATCGTTTTATATCCATACATCTTCATTATGATATTGAATAAACTCGGCTTTGCTTTATTCAATTCTTCATTCCATAATAACTCAAAACGCTTCGATACGTATTCACTCTTTTGATTGTTGACACATGGATACATGTCATCTTCAATGACTTGACGCGATAATCCAATCTTAAACAAGTCGCGTAGCCACCTAAACTTGAGCAAATATTTACCGATAATGTCAATGATAACAAACAATAATATTCACCAATAACAGAATTTCGACAACCAGTTTGCTTTATCAAATGGATTAATCGATTTGAAGCCAGACACCTCGTCGTTCTTATCGCGATTCATGTTTTAATATCGTTTTAAAACGTTCACACGGCACGAGGAACTTTAAATATTTTTAACTACGGTTACTAAGATTTCATGTAGAACTGTTGAGATTTGTCTTAATTATTTAAATAATTCTAATGGCCAGAAACGAAATCTGAGATATTGCGATGAATTAATCAGCAAATTTCACGTCTTCTCTTTACAAAACCTAAAATTGTTCTGTTTGCAAATACGCGGAATTCTAACAAATTTCTGCTGTTTATCTTGTTTCACGATAAGATAAAGTATGAAATGCTGATAAGTAAACAGACTTTATGTATCTGAGCTGATGAATTAACCATGAATGCAGTCATGATTCTCACTTTACTATCATGCTATTCATTGAAACAATTAAGGATTAAAATGTGTTGATAAATTCATCAATTTGGATTGATTTTTAATTGCAATGATTGATGCGAACACAAAAATATTCTTTCGTTATCAACATTTATTCAATGTGATTACAAAAGCAGTTAAATCCACAAATTCGATTGTCTTTATCACTTGAATAATTCAATGATAATAATTTAAATCAAACGTGACTTTTTTTGTTTAAAATAGTAAAAAACTGAAACTTAAATAGGTAGTTTAGTCAATACACGAGAGAAAAACTTAAGATTTTTTGGCTATTTATAAATTATGAGTGTGCGTTTGTTTCTTTTCTTTCAACATTTTCTGTTTTCATTGAATTTTTATCAATATCTTGTAAATATCCTAAAAAATCTTTACAACTTGTTTTATGTTGCCAGGCAACAAAACCTTAAATAAAATAATAAAAGAAAAAAATATTTTAATTCATGATAAGATGAATCGCACTTGCACATCACACTCATTGAAATTGATAAGAAGAATATTCGAAATATGTAAAATAACAGAAAGTCTCTCAGTTTCATTTTAGACCTTGATTGAAGCAATTGACATTTATCATTTTTTTTAAATCAAAGTCTGAGAAGGTTGAACATAATCATGAATTATGTGGCATTAGAAAACAAGAAACAGGGAGTAAGTTTAAATATTAAATGATTAGAAATATCTTTGAAGAAAGTTTTAATTTTATTATCAGGAGACTGGAAAAATCTCATTCATCGACCATGTGTTAGATTACACAACAAGAAAGGGTCTCGTCGGTGAAATTGTGATGAAAATTTATCAATTCTTACTGATATTGCATCAGTTATGGGTCATGAGTGTAACAACAATAAAAGAACTTTGTTTGAATGTCTTTCAAAGTCTGACGTTTAAAAAAAGAAAAGATTTGTCAGATGAAATCGCTGTGGTGAGATTCTATTAAAAATTAGTAAGAAAATTATGAAAAGAATTTCTTGTGACAGGTTGTTGGATCGTCACAAGGACTTGGTCGTGAATTAGCTTTGAAACTTGGTGAACTTAAGGCAACGGTCATTTGCATTGACATTCAACCTTATAAACAAGAAACAGTTTCAAAGGAAATTACATCATCAGGTGGATCGTCGTATTATTTTAAATGCAATGTAACAAACAGAGATCAGGTTGAAAAAACTATTTATGCTATTGAAAGAGATATCGGAGAAGTGAGTATGATGTTCCATTGCTGTTCACTTCCATCAGCCAGGTCAATTGTCAATAATCCTCCACCTGTCCATGAAATCATCGATTTGTCAATCACATCATATTTTTACGTAAGTTGCTGATAAGTTTTTCAACGAATTCATTATCAAAAGAAAGTCTGACGAGTTTTTCGTCGACGACGTCGTTAAATTCATGACCGTTGACTTTCTGATAACAATTTTTGAATTAACTTTATTTTTTAATATTCAATGGAAACGTCAAAAGAAAGTCTTGACGTTGATTAATCATCATTTAATTCATCTCTTCAAACAGCTTCTTGATGCGATTCTTCCCAATATGAAAACAAACAGCAAAGGTCATATTGTGTTCCTTACATCAGTAGCTGCAATCAGTGGATTCACACAACAACTCGCTCTTAGTGTCTCGCAATTTGCAATTCAAGGTTTATACGAATCGGTGGTTGAAGAGTTGCGATTGATGAAACTTCACAAGATAATTAAAACGACATTGGTTCATATCTATCCGTTCATTGTCAGTGATAAGAGTGACAGCAATTTTAGAGTTCCAGGCTTCTTTGGATCTATCCGAGCTGATGAAGCTGCTTGTCACATTCTAAACAGTGTTCAAAACAATGAATCGGAAATCAGCATACCCAAACATTCCTTACTCATCGGTCGTTTAATAAAAATTCTGCCACGTTGGATTAGACTCATGTTGAGAAGCTTCTTCGATGCGGGCGTTGAATTCTAATTTTAATTATCGATTATCAGTTTTGAGAAGAAAGTTTTTAATAAATTTAAATAAACTAGAAATTTATCTAGTTAAGAATATTCAACGCATTTTTTACATTTTCTACATTTTAAATGATGGAAGAACATCAGCGTGATCCGTTTGATAAACTTTTTAACTTCAACAGGATATTCTAGAATTCGGAACAGTTTTAAAGCAGTAGTTGAACGAAGATAACGTTTAAAATTAAAAGTTCTCTTCTTTTGTGTCAATTGGAAAAGGTTCATAAATTTTTAAACTTTTAATTTTTATTTGATGTAGAAACAAAATTATCTATTTAATTACCTAATACATAGAAAATCTTGGTTTTGTTAGATTCTGTGTTTGAAACAGAATTCTCAGTAAATCTTTCAACAATGAATTAAAAACGTGGCAATTAATTTGGACATGTGGAATATTTTCAACTTTTCTTCTCAATGTTATCAATTTCCTTATATACCATTCACAATGATTAATCCAATCTCTTCTAAACGAATGCTTTATATACTTTAACTAACTAAATTTCTATGTCTTTATATCTTCTCCCACCATTATCAATTTTCTAACTTATAAAAGAAAGTATTGAAAGCACATAAAGAACATTTGATAACGAATTAGAAATAAATAGAAGAAAGTTTTCATCTAATTTCAATTTCAGTTTGAATTTGATCGTCGATAGAACTTCATTGTTGTAGAAATAAATCATTGAATAAAAATTTCAAAATGTCCTCATCTACAAAATTGAAGATGAAGATGTATGGGGTGAGAAATATTAAATTTAAATACTTTTAATGAATGCAAATTAAAATATTTTTACTTCTTATCAAGACTGCCCCAGACACCATGCCAGCATTTTACAAATTTTGTCAGAAATTTGGACCATTGGGGACGCTGATGATTTATTACTGCAAATTATTGATGAAGCTGTGGCAGTTTGCCATCGCTGGCATTTTGTTAATAAAAGAAGGTTTTCTCGTTTTGTTTTATTCGGTGGTTCCAGTTCCCCAAAAGAAGCTAACAACTGACACTGTTTTGGTAGGAAAATAAATTTGAACTAATTTTTTAATGTTCTTAAAATTCTCTTCAACAGGTTGTTGGATCAAATCGCATTCTTGGAAATGAACTGGCAATAAAATTGGGTGAACTCAGAGCTAAAGTCGTTTGTGTTGACACTCAACCACCAGAAAGTGAGAAAACTTCGAAATTAATTAAAGGCCTTGGTGGAAATGCTTGTTACTATCAATGTAACATAAGTGACAGAGATGATGTCATAAGAACTATTTCAACTATTACAAAAGAAGTTGGAGACATCACAATGTTGTATCAATGCTGTTCACTGCCATTACCACCAACTGCTGCTAACAATCCCACACCAGTTGGTGAAACTATCGATTTAGCAGTTACTTCGTATTTCTATGTAAGCATTTGATTAAATTAAAAGTTTCTCTTTAGATTACTTAACATTTCTTTCACAGCTTATTGAATCGATTCTCCCAATAATGATTTCGAACCAGAAAGGTCATCTCGTTTTCATTAAATCCGATGCAACGTACAGTGGAATAAATCAACTTGCTATTAAAGTCTCTCAAAGTTCAATCGAAAGTCTTCGAGATCATGTTGAATTAGAATTAGCAAAGAAAGGAGCTGACGATTTCATTAAAGTTACCATGGTTGATGTTTTCCCATTCGTCGTCAATGAGATCCTTGATGGAATTCGCGTTCCAGGAATTTTCGGATCAGTACGATCAGATGAGGCTGCACAGAAGATTTTGGATGGCGTTCGACACAATAAAGATTTAATCAGCATTCCATTCTATTGTTCCTACATTAGCCGTTTTGTTTCATTACCAAAACGTATTGCTATCATGTTCAGAACAATATTAGACAGTAATTCTTGTGAATGTAATTGAATGGATCGAAGTGAAATTGATTGTCAACTTATTACATCATTTTCATATCATGGAAAAATTAATTGTTGATTTGTGAAGCAGTTAAATAAAGTTTTGTTTTTGTAGTTAGTTGTGAAAGTCAAGAAAAGAGTTTTTAACGGAAATAAATTATTTGAATTTTGAGAGGTCGTGAAGCTGGTTGCCTATACTGACGGCGCTTAATTAATTAAATTCAATAAAACCTTGCCGAGCCTAATTTTAATTTAAAAAGATCAAGAAAATGGAAAGCTTAAAGGTTAAAGAATAATTCAATGATTTTTCTTTTATATCAAATTCTAAAAACAGTTTAATTTTAAATCGTTTAAATAAAGATTTCTATTATTTGAGAACAAAGCAGAAAACAGCAAATAACAAACGCATTTCCGTTTTGAGAAAATTTCACACTTGTTGATTGCTGATCTCGCTCAAGCGTGATGGTAACATGAACGAACTCGTAGTGTTCTATGACTAATATGATGATGCTTATGGTAGAATGAATGAGAATGAATTTTAAAAATGTTCTGTTCTGTGACCTTTGCATATTTAACTTAATTATTGCTGGATCTAGAGGAAGTTTGTTTCCCTTATTTCGTCATCTAAGTAGGTAGGTACACAATTTGTGTCCCTCAAATATTCATTGCATAAAAGCATTTTAATTAATGGAAAATGCTAAGCTGAATTATTTAATGAAAAATTGTTCTGCGTTATGCTGTTGCTACATTTCTATTAGTTGTTATTAAAGTCAATTGTTAAATGCAAATTTTCTGAGAGAAAAAGAATTTCATGGTCAGAAGCGAGATGAAGTAAAAAAAGTTGTATTATGAACTTCAGCTCATCGACGTTAATTATGTTTGATTTATGAATGGATGAATGTTTTTTCCCTCTTAAGTAAATCTTTAGACGACTTTATTCGCTTCTCCATCACAAATTTTGCTTGAAGCAAACATCGCGAAAAGAATTTCATGTACATAAGCAACGATCAAACAATCAAGTTGAGCTGGTTTGTCTCTCATTGTCTTCTTCGCTTCTCTCCACTCTCATTCATTGCTGTTTGCTGCTCAACTCTTTGTTAACTCTTAGTTGCGATCATTCGACCAGTTAAGTCTTAACTCTCGTTAAATGAAGTCGACTTTTTATTTTCTCGTGCACGTGTTTACGAAATGTCATTTTTGCAAAAAGACAAAAAAAGATTAATCGAATAAGAATTCAGATTAAAATTAAAATAATTTGGATAAGTTTGCTGTTCTCTTTGAAAGAAAGAAAAGTTTTGTCAAAACTTACAGTTGAAGTGGAAACAAAAAACAAGAAATTTTTTATTGTTGAAACTTTTCAACATTCTTAAACATAAGCGCAAACATAGCAAAAAAAAAAAGTTTAATAAAAAGAAGAAAGAAAGAAAAAATTGTTGATTAAACGAAGAAAAAAGAAAAAATATTTGCAGATTCATCGAATAATTCAGTCATGTGGA